AGAAATGGGATTTAATGGGATTTTATAGTGATTTAATGGGATTTAATGGGATTTTATAATGATATAAATGGGATTTAATGGGATTTTATAGTGATTCAATGGAATATTAATGGGATTTAATGGGATTTAATAGGATTTTATAGTGATTCAATGGAATATTAATGGGATATACCCTCTGGTAATGTAACATAGCTATTGAAAATACCACATTTATAGTGGATTTTCCCATTAAAAATGGTGATTTTCCATAGTTATGTTAGTTTACCAGACGAGGGTAATCTGCGCATCTTATCCTATCTATCTATCTATCTACCTATCTTTTATATTATCTTATCGTATCTTTCTATCTACCTACTACCTACTAGCTACCTATATCTTATCTTATCATATCTTATCTTACCTTATCTATCTATCCTACCTATCCTACCCATCCTATCCTACCTGATTAATCCTGATTACCTATCCTGCCTATCCTATCCTATCCTATCCTATCCTACCTATCCTATCCTATCCTGTCCTGTCCTGTCCTATCCTATCCTATCCTATCCATCTATATATCTGTCTAATCTATCTAATTTCTCTAATCTAATCTATCTATATAATCTATCATACGTATCATATCATACTGTATCGTATCGTATCTACGTATCTATTACGCATTTTCATTTTCACTGGCACTATTTCAAGATCTATCTCACAGAAGAAGTGGCAAAGGGGATTTCAGGACTACACCCTTGGCCACAATGGGTCAGCATTGTCTTCACCAATTCGAGCTTGAGGTTCCGTTCAGTCATCTATCTGGTGGACATTTGATGCTCCAACTCTCTTTTTCAGGCACGTCATGTCGTAGGGAATATGGAATGCAACCATAGCTGCCATAGCTCCTTCGCCCGCTCCTTCGAGAAACCGTGATCCAGGAATCCCAACATCTCCCAACACTCCAAGTCCAGTCAGGTAACATATCGTAACTTACCTGATATCCCAACTTATCCCTCCAATTATCCCAACATATGGCAGTGTGTCAAAACCTTGTACCCCTGGTGAACATCAAAATAGCTGGTAAATGGATGTTCATCCCCCTAAAAATGGTATTAATTGATGGTATTGATCCATACCCATATCCCAACACTCCAAGTACAGCCTGGTATAAGCCCATTAAATCATCCAGGGCGCCAAATTGGGCTGCTGCGTGGTGGTCCGCAGGGCCTCAAACCAGCGTCCGTTGACGTCCACGATGCGACTGGGCATGCTCACCTCGAAGCACAACTGGGGCGAAACCAGGTGAAGATGGCCATCAGCATGGTGAAATAAGCCACCATAGTTGGGATATAACAGGGTATATAGATATATATAGATATAGATATTGATATAGACATAGATATAGATACAGTATACAGTATATATCTATTCAATTCTATTTATATTGATATAACTATATAACCTCTTTAACTAATTATCGTGAAATCACGTGAAACCTATCCACCTATAAACCTAGAACTCGAACTGCACTTCCAAGAAGTGATGGTGGGATGGGGATGGGGCGCAGCTGCCTGGAATCATTGGCCTGCCGTGGCTGAAAATGGACGTGTTGATCGTGTTGTAGATGATCCATGATAAAACTAAAAGGTGATAAAAGTTGATAAGTGGGTGAAACCTCAACAACTTGGCCGTATACTCAAGCGAAACTGCATGGAGAGATGATGAGTTCCCTTCGCCGTGGATCACAGACCCAAGTTCAGCATTCCGAGCGACCAGCAGCTTGATTGGCAAGTAGACAACCTTGGTCCATCAGTGACCCACGGTGGGCCACGTTGACTTCCGAAATGTATCATTGGATTAATTGGAACATCCACAGGACACTTTCTCAACAAGCCATGGTGTTTTTAGTCTTTACCATGGTTTACCATCAAATAGAGGGCTTTCCCTAAAAATCAATGTCCAGGGGCAACAAACTACCGACCTCAAGATCATATGCTCTCAGGCACATGTTGGTCCACCTTCCCCACCGTCAGCCCAGTGAAGCCAGCCATGGCAGCATGCACTGCTGCTTGGGCCAGCTCCGAGCAGTAAATGCCTTGGCTTCGCCGTTGGGATCCTGGAAGCCCAAAAAATATCGGCCTCTGCATGCCTCTGCCAGTTATAGATTTGGATTGTAGCAAAGGCAGTTTCCTGGGAACTAAGCCTGTAGTCCCTAAATGTCCCTATATAATCAAAATGCTTATCTTGAAAGGCGCCCAGCCGCCAGACCCGATTGGCACCGTGATGCCCAGAATCTGATAAAACATCGAAGGCAAACCCGATACTGTATACCATCTGGTTATTTAACATAGCCATGGAAAATGACCCATTTATAGATGGTTTACCTGGGTTTACCTATTAAAAATGGTGATTTTCCATGGCAAACTGTTAAATAACCAGATGGATCCAGATGGTACATTGGGTGCTGGCCATGGTGAATCGTATATCAAAAAAAATGGCCTCAGCAGGAGGCCGGTTCTGAAGAAAACTGCGGCCATGGATCCATCAAGTGTCATCCGTGCATATCAGTGCCATGCTTCGGACTGCATCCTATCTACCCTCTGGTAATTTAACGTAGCTATTGAAAATTGCCATTTATAGTGAGTTTTCCCATTAAACATGGTGATTTTCCATAGTTATGTTAGTTTACCAGAGGGTATTTCTATCCATGACATCTCTGCAGTTAAGAGGCTGTCGTTGGGGTTGGCAGGAACTGCACGCACCTGGCGTTCAGCCACATGCGAATCTGGAGTTACTGGAGGCATTGGAATCTCTGGTTTTTAGGGCTGTCACTTCTCCCATATGGCCATGGGACAAATTGTGTCAGAATTTATTTACTCCAAAATGTGGCTGGTTTAATATGGTTCAATATGGTTTGATATAATATTAATACCAAACACGTATTTTTTTAGATGTTTTTAGTGGTTCTGTTGGCGCTGTATCTTTGACCCATGCCCACATCTGCCAGTCGCCTGATAAGTGGGATCCACATATTTGATGGTAATCGGGAGCCTTGGTTTGGTGCCCGCCCTAAGACAAGCTCCATCAGCTGGGTGAGACATTGGTGCCTTGAAATTGCCTGAAAATTGGACGGTCACTGTACAATATCACGAATGGATCATCACCAACATCGTCATCTCATCGTCGTCATCATCATCATCATGATCATGATCATGATCATCACATTTCTTACGGTGGAAAGTCAGAAGTGTTTGAAACCAGCACACATGTCAGTGAATTGGGTTCTGACTGCTTAGAACTGGGAGACGTGGCGATGTGTGTGGGGAAATGCCTCAGTGATTTACTAGGCAATCCAAAGCGTATGGCCAAACTTAGGCCCTCGGCCAAACAGTCGATTCTTGAGAAACATTATATAAAATATATATATATAATATAATATAATATAATATATAATATATAATATATATATATATATATATAATCTCCATTTATATATCCCAAAAATCGCCGCATTCACCAAGGTGAATGCCAGTTTTTTAGTTCATCACCCAGCTGCTTCAAGGTCTTGAAGTGATTCACGATGGAGTCCTGGCACTTTCTTGCAGAGTTACCAGGCCATTTTGACAAAGATCGTTAAATCCATGAAGCCGGATAGGCTTAACGGACACCCCAGGCTCTAGACCCAGAAAGTTGAGTGATTCTTGAAGTGTGTGTAAGATTATGAAAGTGTATAAACCCCTTGATGTCTGGTGTTTGAAGCGCCCAACTCTGACATATCGCCAATAGCTCACCAGAACTGGACAAATTGGACAAAGCAAACTGCTCTGCCCCAAATCGATCCGGTCAGAGATGACTTACCCTGCTTTCCAGCGCAAATTTTATCCTTTATATTATACGCTGGCTACTCACACTCAGCACCATGTTTTACAGTAGTTTCTGACGTCGGTGAGGTCCGTGTTTTTGATGGTGCCAAGTATTTCTCCACTAAAAAAGGCAACACATTAGCCAGCAATCACCAAGGTTTGCTTGAGTATTCGCCCATAAAGGGCGAGCTCATAATACTCAATAAACCAGGTAGCATAAACCCCCCCCAGAAAACTAATCAATCAACAATCATCAACCATCATTTACGATCATGTATCAATTATATCCGCATTTTTGGTGGCGGTGGATTAAACCCACATTGTATGGTTATACAAATCCTCTCTTAAATCAACCAACATAAACAAGATTGCTAAGACGGATGGTTCGTTATATAAGTTACACAGTTCTACAACACCAAAAAATGTACCAATAAAATAAAGTATCAAGTATCCCACCAGATTTTTGCATCACATCAACCAGCATTCACAAGGGTCACCGCCCAAGGCAGCTGCTCCTTCAACCAGGGTCCCACGTCGCTGATCTTCTTATTGCCGCCTTCGTCTGTCCCTCCTGGTGGGGGCCCCTACTGGCCATCCGAAAGGATGTCACACCGCTCTCCCCTCGGGGCGCCACCTTGTAATACAAACATACTTGAAACCTCCATGAACGCAAAGGCAACTCATGAGACGTGCTCAAAGGCCTGACGTATTTATATGCATTTTTATAAATACATATATATATACATATATATGCCTGCGGACCGAAAACCGTTCCCGTAAAACGCACGTTTTTGAATATCGCCATTGTGGGGTGGGGTGGGGTGGGGTGGGGGGGCATGTTAACGTTCCTTGTACTTCGTACATGATATATTGCCATGCTGCTAAGATCTCTGGGATTATTTACTACGTTACATGTTGCTACGCTGCTGAGATCTCTGGTATCGTTTACTACATTACATATGATCCCTGCCATAGCCCCCCCCCATGCCAGCATACCTTGGAATAATTGGATATGGATATTATTCCAGCCCCATTGCACATGTTCTGGGAAAACATTCCAGTATGTCACACGACATCGGGAATAATTAGGGTAAATTTAGGGCAACCCCCCCCTCTCCATTCATAAAAAAATACCAGTTGTAATCAAATTTGGTATATTTTTGGCATGTGTTGATTGAGGTTGTATTGCCACAAACCACTAGAAACCTAGTGTCAGAAAACCTTTTCAAATAAGCTCAAAAGTTTATTGGGATCTTGAAAGTTTTGCTCGCTCCTGGTTTCAAAGATGTGCTCCGGCAATGCTCAACCTATCTCAACCTGTGAAGAATTCCTAGGTGTTTCCTGGTGATGCCCAATTTCCCCTGGGTGGTTTAGAGTGGAGAGACAGTGTAACAGTCCAGAGGTGAGATCTGGCGGTACTGTCGGAAGCTCATCTGGGAGAGGATAGTATCCTGCAGTGTCCTTGGGATCAATGGGTCCCTTACTACGTGGCGCATGAGTTTTGGCTGCTACGTAGGCTTGTTGAATCAGCGCTCCATGCTGTGTCGCCATGATGCGCAGGTATCTATAAGCCCGTATGGCGGCTTTTCTCGTGCTTGGACCGTCGTCGGCTTGATTTTTGTTGGCACGGGCCAGAATGTTCCTCGCTTCTTCTTCCCTTCCTTTAGCGGAAGACATATGGGTAACTTATGGTAACTTAGCCAAAGACCAATGGACCCACTGAGTGAACATTGTGACCCAATGAATGGTTTGAAGAATCCCTGGGTTTTTTCTGGATTTTCCTGTTGATGCCTAATTATTCCTGGGTGTTCTGACATATGTGGGTGACCTGTGGTTAAAATATGGGTACTTTAGCCAAAGACCAATGGGCCCACTGAATGAACATTGGTGACCCAATGCATGGTTTGAAGAATTCCTAGGTGTTTCCTGGTGATGCCCAATTTCCCTTGGGTGGTTTGACATATGTGGGTGCCCTGTGGAAGACATATGGGTAACTTATGGTAACTTAGCCAAAGACCAATGGACCCACTGAGTGAACATTGGTGACCCAATGAATGGTTTGAAGAATCCCTGGGTGTTTCCTGGTGGTGCCTAATTATTCCTGGGTGTTCTGACATATGTGGGTGACCTGTGGAAAACATATGGGGATGTCTCAAAATAGGGGTGCCCACATGAGTGCCCCAAACTTTTTTTTTCAGATGAAAAAAGAAAGTTTGGGGCACTCCATTTTGGAGACATTCCCATATGGGTAACTTATGGTAACTTAGCCAAAGGCCAATGGACCCACTGAATCCCACTGAGTGAACATTGGTGACCCAATGAATGGTTTGAAGAATCCCTGGGTTTTTTCTGGATTTTCCTGGTGATGCCTAATTATTCCTGGGTGTTCTGACATATGTGGGTGACCTGTGGTTAAAATATGGGTACTTTAGCCAAAGACCAATGGGCCCACTGAATTAACATTGGTGACCCAATGCATGGTTTGAAGAATTCCTAGGTGTTTCCTGGTGATGCCCAATTTCCCTTGGGTGGTTTGACATATGTGGGTGCCCTGTGGAAGACATATGGGTAACTTATGGTAACTTAGCCAAAGACCAATGGGCCCCTGAGTGAACATTGGTGACCCAACGCATGGTTTGAAGAATCCCTGGGTGTTTCCTGGTGATGCCCAATTATACCTGGGTGTTTTGACATATGTGGGTGACCTGTGGAATAAATATGACAAATGAGTCAAGATAAATAATTTCCTTGGGACCCCTGTGCTTTTCTATCTGGCATATCTTCTGACATCTTCTGACATTCTATCTGGCACTCTATCTGGCATATCTTCTGACATTCTATCTGGCATATCTTCTGACATTCTATCTGGCATATCTTCTGACATTCTATCTGGCATATCTTCTGATATCTTCTGACATTCTTTCTGGCACCCTATCACGGGCGATGAAACAGCACATAACAGATCATAACAGCACATGTATGCACATGTCATCACCGTTCATCTATTGTCATATATTGTCATCTATTTTTCAAATAATGGTTCAAATTTTATCATAACTTATCATCTGAGTTTATATGCCCATTAATAGCTAATTATTCTGAGGTATGTTGACACAAATTATTCCATACAACATCTGACATAGAATAGACCCCCTTAGCAGAATAATTAAAAATAGGCCCTAAAACTATTTATTCCAAATCAAGTATTCCTGATGTGACATGCCCCCCTGGAATAATTACCCAAGGTAGGGGCCATCATTACATACATGTTGCTACGCTGCTGAGATCTCTGGGATCGTTTACTACGTTACATGTTGCTACGCTGCTGAGATCTCTGGTATCGTTTACTACATTACATACATGTTGCTACGCTGCTGAGATCTCTGGGATCGTTTACTACGTTACATACATGTTGCTACGCTGCTGAGATCTCTGGTATCGTTTACTACGTTACATGTTGCTACTCTGCTGAGATCTCTGGGATCGTTTACTACGTTACATACATGTTGCTACGCTGCTGAGATCTCTGGTATCGTTTACTACGTTACATGTTGCTACGCTGCTGAGATCTCTGGGATCGTTTACTACGTTACATGTCGCTACGCTGCTGAGATCTCTGGGATCGTTTGCTACGTTACATACATGTTGCTACGCTGCTGAGATCTCTGAGATCTCTGAGAGCTTGGCAATGGAGATGCATTCACAAGAATGCTGACTGCCAGCTGTTTACTACGCATGCGTTGCAGCGATGACGCTGAAAAACTAAAAAACGCGCCCCAAGTTTTTCCAGGATTTCCAATCATCAAATTAGCACGGCACTGTGGTAAAATCACCATTTTTTTTAAAAAATGTGCGTTTTATGGGAACGGTTTCCGGTCCGGCGGGATATATATATATACATTATATATATATATATATATACATTATAAATACGTATGTGTATATATATATATATGTTGGGATGCATGTCTGGGTCAGAAATAAAATAAACGCACTAATTGCGCTGGATTTGATTTGAAGGGTTTCGGCCCGAATTCCGATCTGCTTTGTTGATGACTGACTTAACGAAACAAACGCCAAGCTCAAAGGCAAGACGTCTCTGCATCAGGTAACTGACACAGGTGTGTGTTTCAATCGCCAAATCGAAAACGGATGCAGCTGTGGCTTGCCCGTACAAGGTCAAGCTCGAGACTGCTTGATCAATTTGGTTTATTGTTTGAGCCCCTCATGGTTCCCTGGGCGCTAACCATCTGGAAAGCAACACGCAAAAAAGTGGCACGTGACATCGGCCAAAATGATTGCTCCCATCGTTCCCAAACTCTCACGAGTAAGCTTACCCTGGGCACAGAGACTTGAAAAAGGCAAATTTGCATGTATACACATTAAACAAATGGCTTTCCCATTAAACAACACACATCATTTCATGTTTTGAACCCAATAGTCAACAATCCCTGATATTACAGTACCATACGGGATTTTTTATGGGTGGCAATAACCATCCCAGAGCACCATCTCCTGCACTCTGCATCAAGGTATCGCCGCAACCTTCAGCAATCACCACCACCTGAGGGCAATCACGCAGGTACAAAAAGGGGGCAATACCAATAGCGGCCAAAACAATTGTTCAACCATGGGTACCATGGTTCAACCATATGGCGGTATCATGTTACACAAAGTTTCTGGCCAAAACAATTGTTCAACCATGTGTAATAAAAAAGAAAAACACGGGATATGACAACCAAAACTCCTTCTCCATGAAATGGGGATAGGGATATGCCATGGGAATACCACAAGAACAAATGAATATGAACAAAAAAACATGTGACAGGCATGGTCAAAGGGAAGATTCACAATGTTTACCGCGGCTTAAAAGCCCGGATTTCCTGAAAATTTTCGTGTAGACCAATCCATTGACTGATATTGTGGCTATACCCATTATATCCCATTCGATTCCGATAAAACGGCACTATACCTCCCATTTTCATTGATTAAATCCCCACAGATAACCCACCATGCTTGACTGCTAAAGCCAGTAAATCCTAGTGACCATTTTTCATGCTTAGCTGCCCATTTTTCATGGGAGAATCGGAATTAATCATAGCATATCCATTAAATCCCATTACATCTCATTATATCCCACCATTCTTGATCAAATGCCCATTCTTGTTGCATATCCCATTCTATCCTATTCTATCCCATTACTATAGGAACTATAGAAATCTAATGAAATATATAGAAAATGATGGATGTTATACCATTAGTATCCATTGGTTATAGAAAAATATAGAAATATATATAGAAAAATCTATCCCATTAGTTGTACCCCCCCTATGTTTGGATCTTGAACTCCTGATGGAGAATCCGTTGACGGTCCCCACGGCGTCCAAGGGACTGCGCTCCCACTGGTGCTCACTAGCTCCACACAATGATCTAAGACCTGCAGCGAAAAAACTCCGCCAGCCGTGCAACAAGCTTTATCCATGTAGTATATACATTCAATGGATTGGTTTAAGGGAAAATTTACAGGAAAGCCCCATATTTAATGGGGAAATCCATGGTTTCCCGCAAATTTTCCCTTAAACCAATCCATTGATACATACAAATAGATACAAAAAAAATAAACCTTGGTATATCTATTTAAAAAAATATGTGGTATATCTATTTTCTCTAGATATAAACCTCCAAGACTCCAAAATAGAAAAATAATGAAAAATAACATCCTGCCAAAAGAGTGGTATGAATTATGAATTTATCCTGTAAATCAACTATGAATTATGACTGTTCAATTTTTTGGGGGTCTGGATAGATACGATATGATACACAGAGTTGACAGAGGTATTTGGACAGATTCTCGTTTCGATTCATTTGTTGCGCCGATCTTACATGATCTGGCATCATCTCAGGGGTTTGATGACAATGATCCATGCCGGTGCCTTGTCCAAATTGATATCCATCTCGGGCAACAGGCAAATGTCCACGTGGCGCGCAGCCAGCACCGACATCATGGTCAAGTAGCCGCAGTGCCTACACAAGGCTGCATGGAGATGAGTTGGCAACCATCTATCACCCGAAAAGGCCCTAACCCCTGCGCAACCATCTGCTCACCCCAACCCCTGCTCTATCAAACTTCAATCCCGAAATCTTTGACCTGGATTGTTCTACATAACCTAAATCTTCCTTTGTTTCACTTCATTCCGGATCTATTCCCCTGCCGAAAATGGTAACTCAGATGAGGATGTAGGAGGAATCAAGGTTCAATGATTGAAATCATCCTTGGGCTTGAAATAAATCTTGCACTGCTATCCACCAACCATCCGCCCATGGTCGGGAAACCCAAAAAAAAATCGTAGTTCCACGGGGGACCCGTCCCCAGCACCTTCCCATAAGCTTCACTAAGCCGATACAATTGGCATTGCAGGTAGCTTCCACGTAGGCCACTTCGATGGCCTTCAGGGCTTCAGACCTGCGGAAACGGCCCAGGTCCATTTTTGAGAATATGGGGGATTTGACCATACACAATAGGGATTCAACGAAATTTAATGGGATTTTCATAAGATGGAATGTTCACAAAATGTGATGTGATTACAATGAATTTACTTTTAATAAGATTTGATGGGATTCATTGGGTTTTGTGGGATGTTACGGTATTCAATTGGATTAAATTGAATTGGATTTCATGGGGTTCTAATAAAGAACATAATAAGATGTGATGGATTTTATGGGATGTTACGGTATCTAATGAGATCTAATTGGGTTTAATGGGATTCAATGGGATTTCATTGGGTTTTACGGTAATTATTTAACTTCATAGGATTTGTTTTCACGCGGACTAATGGTAATTATGGGATTGAATTGGATGTCATGCAATTTGATGGGATTTTACGGGAATCGATGGGGTTTTATGGAGATACAATGCAATAATATGCAATATATGAAACCAACCATAACCATGCAGGTGTGTCTGACACTGATAGCTACAACATGGCCATTTTACTGATGATTACCCTCTGGTAAACTAACATAGCTATGGAAAATCACAATTTTATCCATGTTTAATGGGAAAATCCACTATAAATGGCCATTTTCAATAGCTATTTTGACATAACCAGAGGGTATTTGTCAAACTTTGGGAACCATAACGATGATGGTAACCCCTAGGGATGGCCATGGCATCATGGCCATGGCATCATGGCCATGGCTCACCGAGCTTCAAGCGTCTGCTACCAAGTTGCATGGCCGTGTCGAAGCCAAAGGAGCGATCCTGGAACGCCGTGTCCAGTGCTGCGCAGTCGTTCTGCACATGGACAACCATGCGACCCAATATACAGTAATCTCCGATAACATAGCAACAAGTGTATGAATTTGGGGAAAATTGTAGTTGTACCTCTATTGACCCTATTGTATCCTTAGAGAAATTATAGGTAAAATGAGTCATGGTTTCATGCCGTCCAGGAGGTTGATGTCGTTGTCGATGGTCTTGGGGACACCGACCACGGCGCATTCCCAACCTCGATTCCCAAATTCGCAGCTCCAACTGGCTCCCCATTGGGGATTATATGGGATTATGATGGATTATGGATACCCATCCATAGCTTCTTCATGCTCCTGAGCTAGAAATGTATCTTTGGCAACATTGATTGCCCATCGTCGCTGCTGAAAGGGGGACCCATAGCCATTCCATCCCATTCTTTGCCACCAAATTTTGCTTGCGATTTCCCATTTGGTTGGCTATATCCTTATGGAATTGCTGTATCTATATATATATATAAAGTATATGGTAAATTATATATATATCTTACATTATCTCACCACATATCCACAGTAAGCAACTTTTTCTTGGAGATCTATGGATATCTCATATCTCCTGGTCCCAGCTATGCCACGGATTCCATGCTATTCCTCAGCTCCTGGCCAATCTCTTGCATCTTTTCATAGGTCTGATGGGCGCCTGCGGCAATGGATCGATCCCTGGCTCCATAAGACCTGCCTATCAAGGGGATCTTAAGGAATTCTCAAGCATACCCTCCGGTAAACGTTTACATAACGAACTGAATTGCCATTTTCAATAGCTATGTTAAATCCGCCCACACCGCTTTGGCGGTGAAGGCGTGCTTATTGGGGGGCAACAGCAACACTAAATGCTCAATGACATTTGTTAATATAGCAGTCGCTATATCAGCTTTAGCTGGGGGGGGCCCAAAAACGGTTTCGCACCGAGACCAGAATACGGTGGTGTTTTCGACATTTTTCGAGGATTTTTGGGTGTCTGAGCGCAAGAGGGTATTGAAATGGAATTTTGGGTCATTTTGGTAGCTTTCCGGCAATGGAAAAACGGCCAAAAATGAAAAAAACATTGTACATAGCAAGATTTTGCAGGGTTTTTGGATGCCAGAGCATTGAAAACACTGCAAAAACAAGTGTTTTGGACTGACGTTATAGCAAAAAACGTGTAAATTACCGTATGTTTGACTGGAAACATTACAAAAACACTGTCAAAAGCAATGTTTTGGAAGGATTTACTGCCTTTATGGCAAAAAACGTGTAAATTACCGTCTGTTTGACTGGAAACATTGGAAAAACACTGTCAAAAACAATGTTTTGGAAGGATTTCTTATATATATGTTGGAGTTGGCTACCGGCATTGGAACATGGAAAAATTGAAGAAAACACTGTAAATAGCGGTATTTTCAACGGTTGGGGAGATAAGGGAATTGGAAGCATTGTCGAACATGATGTTTTCGACCGGTTTTATGGCGACAAAAGTGTAAAGTACCGTGCTTTGAAGGAAACCATTGCAAAAACATGGAAACACATTCAAAGAACACGGGATTTGGGGGACTATCTAGGCGTCGTTGTCTAGCTATTTGAAATTCCGCAGCTTGGAGAGCCTCCAAGGGAGGGAAAAGTGAAAATTCCATAGCTTGGGAAGCTGTCACGGCGGGGAAAAGTGAAAATTCCCTAGCTTGGGGAGCCCCCACCCCCACGGGGGGGAAAAGTGAAAATTCCCTAGCTTGGGGAGCCCCCACGGGGGGGGAAAGTGAAAATTCTTAGCTTGGGGAGCCCCCACGGGGGAAAACCACCCTTAGCCCCTCTCACGGACCGAAATAAACCTGCGGTGTGGGCGGCCACCCCACGCGAAGCGGGGTGAATTACCAGAAGGTAATAGGAGGCTATATGAAATCAAATCATCGCAAGAATCGGGAAATTTACCCAATCCGACATAATCCGAAGAAAACATGGGGCTGGTGACTGTGGCATTGCGGATGGTACACACTCATCCCATCATAATTGCCGACAATAAGAATCATCATCCCAATGCCAATATCCAATTATATAACTCTATATATGCTATCCAGATTTATCCAGAAAATTCTTGTGGATGTCACATAGAGGAATTGGTGACATGATGTCACACGTATGTGCCATGTACAAATCATGGTATATGTGGTTTTTGTCTTCTGTCCCACAATAAAATCCTTCAAAAAATGGCATGTAAATCCAAACGGATTGACCATTCCCTGATATGGATACACCTCTGAGACGAAGAACTGGCGCGCCTTTCTGCGTTCCATCGCCGCCCAAGACAAAGTGCTGGCGCACGCCCTTCTTCTTCAACATCTTTGCCTATCACTCAGCACTCACCGGTAATTTAAGATGGTAATTGACAGTTGCAAATCTCAACTGCTCCTATCTTCATCTATTTCTACTGTAGTTGAAAAATACGAGTTTATCATCTCTATATTATATAAGTGGGTGATTTTCCATTGCCAGGTGAAACTAATTGCTGGAGGGCAATGTTTTAATGCAAAGCAGGTTCACTTCAATGTCAACCACAGAGTACAAAAACTGCCCGGAAACATAATTCCCCAGCTCTCTCTCTCTCTCTCTGACAATTTACATGTTTTGGCGACCATGTCGTTAGTTTTCAGGGGTGGTCACATTTATATAATGTCGATGAAACTACACACTGAGGAACTTCCTGGTGGCATCTTTTTACACATCCCAAGTCCTCGGAAGAGATATACGTCTCATTTTCTCCCAGCTATATCTCTCCTTAAATTCCAAATATATTCAATGATATGGAGTAAAAGAACACAACATATCATATTCATATATTCCAGCATGGCCCAAATATACAGACTGATAGATGGCTTAGAGCATGTTACACGTCGTATCATTTTTGGCCAAATTATAACAATTCACAAGCCTGACAATAGCTGAGATGTTGGGCCATTTGGGGATGATTCCCCGCAATCCTAAGCATCATTCCAGTGACGTCACATTGAGGTCATATAATTCAGCCAAAATATTATTACTATTATAAATACATTGATTTGCATTGCAATGCCTTGATATTGCATTACATTACCATTATGGTTAATATTATTCATCCAAATCATTATTTTATTAACCTCTCATTTAAATATTAACACCTACATATCCGTGTACATATATATATATATATGTGGTGTCTATATATATATAACCTTCATACATACCTTATCCATCCGTATTATAATTCATCCATATGATGCTCGTTATATTACATTATTTTTTAGCCCATATACATGGTGGTATATTACCCTCGTATTATATAATCCTGCATCCATATATTGTACATTGTTGTAGTTCATCCAGATTACTATTACTAGTTACTAGTGTAGATACATTACATTTTTTTGCCAGGTAGCAATGTTATTACTATTATAGATATATACATTACATTACTATTATCATCACGATCATCATCACCCAGAACATTCTATTACTACTACTATTATTTATTATCCATATGATCACTATTTGCTATTACTACCAATTCATCCATGTATCCAGATATGTTAACCTTCATATATAAATATAAATAAGTAATAAATGAACAAATAAAAAAGGATAACTAGCTAAATAAATAAATAAATGTATATATTTTTCCCACTGCTATTTAAAGCCTTACAGGCACTCAGACAAAACTATCAAAAAACATGCAATATATAAATACGTATTATCCAATACATCTGGGTAAATTATAATACACCAACCTGAATTAAGATCATTTGGGGATAATTCCCCTTACTAACCCATCAGAACCCACCATCCCCGCCATCTCCAAATGGGGTGGATTTCCACGGTCGCTCACCAGGATTGATCCACCTCACCGCGATGGTTACCAAAAACCAAGGGCTATATATATATATATATACCCTCTGGTAATTTAACATAGCTATTGAAAATGGCCATTTATAGTGAGTTTTCCCATTGAAAATGATGATTTTCCATAGCTATCTTGGTTTACCAGAGGGTATATATATTATACTGGTTGGTGGTTTTAACAATCTTGAAAAGTGGAAAAGTATTAGTCAATGGGAAGGATTATATATCCGATTATCATAATATTATTCTGGTTGGTGGTTGGCCTACCCATCTTGAAAAATATGCTCGTCAATGGGAAGGATGACATCCCATATAACTATATATTATATTATCTGGTTGGTGGTTGACCTACCCCTCTGAAAAATATTACCTTTTATTGCCGCTTATGTGCAGGCACAGAGGCAGCGAACAACCCCCTGCAACCCATCTTCCATGAGATATTCTGGTTGGTGGTTTTAACCATCTTGAAAAATATTAGTCAATTGGAATTACTATTCCCATATATTATGGAAAAATAAAAAATGTTCCAAACCACCAACCAGATATATATCTATTATATGCTCATAACTGGGGTTAATATTCACATATTCCAGTTGTATGTCATTTATATGCCATTTATCTCTGGTTACCAATTGTTACAACCACTCAGATACATTTACAAGTGGTTTGATCATGTGACAGCCCTTTTTCAGCCCATTTCGGCTTTCTTTTTGCCCAATTTTGGCGCACGATCCTCAGGATGAAGACCCCATGCCCCTACAGCCCCTCAATAGAATCCTGAAATGTAACCATGGTTTCTGGGCTTTATAAATTGTTTATAATATTGAGGGCTTATGATCGTTGAAACATCTTGAAACAAAAAAACACTATGCCTGCCGCACCCTTTTTTCAAAGGCCTTGCAAATGGATGTCTTGAACGTTCTCTGGGGTCAAGGTGATCCAGCACTGTGGATTCACAACACCTGGCGAGTGAAAAAACCGCAAGTTCATGATCGACCTGGTGCATCCAACAACTCCAGATGGCTCAAACAAGCGCTGGATCCAAAAAAATTGTTCAAGGGAAAATTTAGCTCAGATTTGGTGGGGAAAAAAAAACTAACTAGTAACTAGACTATGGCGTTTCCCGCGGCATTTACCATTTATCAATCCAAGAGACTTAATCGTTCAATCCTAAGTTATCGATGTTTTGATGGTTAAATTCCAGTCTATCAATCTATTGAACACCCCCAGTGTCTATGTTCCCATCCCGGATATGGTATTCACATGTTCCATCTGCACGGTTGTTGCCTTTGAAACCTCCCTTGATGCCATAGACTTTCTTGACGCCATAGGCATAGAGCATCATTACCTTGGCCGCTGGTGCTGCTGACAGTTGCCTCAACTTTCAGAAACTCACTCCAGGGATGCCTTAAGATTAGGAACCTCGAAAATTCTTTGCACGCTAATGTTCAATTTTTTGCCTATGATCCTAAATCTATAGATATCGGCAATATATACCATCATGGTAATACCACGTAGATCCCATGTAGATATTATAATGATATATAGGAGGTCATCATAGATCTGATAGATATGACATGATACATATTCATATATTATAACCTATATTATGAACTATAGCCATATAGTCTATATTATAGACTATTGAGTCATATATACCCTCTGGTAATTTAACATAGCTATTGAAAATGGCCATTTATAGTGGATTTTCCTATTAAAAATGGTGATTTTCCATAGTTATGTTAGTTTACCAGAGGGTAACTATTATAACTCACGCTGCTTGCCTTTCTACACGTCCACAACTCAGCCCTGGACCAGCTCGCGAATGACGTTGTTCAGGCCAGGGCAGAGACCACCACCTGACGTTTTTTCGCGGCAGCATCGATTCACCATGGCCCTGGTCATCTCATGGGTGTACATGATGATACGTATTCAATAATAAATGATCTTGATAGATATACATCATAATTATATACAAAATAAAAAAAATATCACACGCATGTAAAAATAAGTATACATATACATACATATATATATTGTATATGTACATCATATACGAATACAAATTATATATATTATATGTAATATACATGTAATATATATATATATATATTATATGCATGTAATATCATGTAATTATTTTCACTAGTGGCTCAGGCTTCGACCATTGTACTGCGTAGATCTGCGTAGAATTTTTCTAGAGATGTTCCCTCTCCAAAAGTCATCCAAAATGTCATCCTCAGTTCCTTGGGATATGCCAGAAACATCATCCGAGAACGTGACATGTCACGATGGTGGCGGCCACATCTGCTGGCCTCAGAGTTAAGCGCCTGTGATCCACTCTGTTCCATAGCTTCATCAATCGTAATTGAGAAAACTTTTTTGAATGAACACCCAATTGATTGTCATGAGTCATTCATTAATCCTGGTTTGACATCATCCCGTGTCCTCATTTAATTCTCCGACACACTCTCAAAGGATCTGGCAACTTGGCCTAGCCTGCCGCCTTTCTTGTATCCGACGGTTGTGACGAGTGCAGACGCTTGATATCTCATGATATGGCAGTGTGTCAAAACCCTGGTACCTAGTGAACCCCAAAATAGCTGGTATATAAATGGATGTTCATCCCACTAAAAATGTATCTATAGGTATTGACCCATACCCATATCTCTTGCACATGATCCGTTCCGGGCAACCGCGCTTGAAGTACAAGGTGCGACGGGGTCCAGCCTGCGCCGGAAGGAGAAGCAGTGCCCTCTACTCAGCGGAAATCCTCATGTTTAATAGGAAAGAAACAGCTATAAACACAGCGGGTCACATTATCAAAGATGATCAAAGATGCAAAAGCTCCAATTTTGGAAAGTTTCAAGCCATTTCTGGTTGTCCTTCAAAATCCGCCCGCATGATACCTTGGGCATCTGCAAGCGCACTCCAGGGAGGCCCAGAGTTTGCGTCACCTCAGCGATGCACGCACGAGTCGCTAAATTCCACCAACTGCCCTAGAAATTTGGAGGCTGTCTTCTGCAAAAGTTGTGATTTAGCGAGCAGAAATTGTAGTTGAACATAGCTACCTACAAATCCATCAAATCCACATGATGGATTTTCGGGCCAAACATGATCAGCTCTTTTTTGTCATCGCTTGTTATGAGGACTCTAATATACTCCAATCATCCAAGACAATGATAGACGATATTAGACGATGCTAATAAGTTACCAAACCTCGTTTCCAGATTTTCCAAACCTCCAACGGTGCTGAGGATGATCGGATGGCTTCGAGGCTTTGAGGCTTCTGGGGCCTACCGACCCATGAGTTTTGATCGAAGAAACTCACCTCGCCACCCTTAACCTGGCGAAGTGCCGTGTTTTTGGTTGAACATCACCTGGAATCGCCCTGGAATCGCCCTGGAACCCAAAACTACTAGAAACACAACATGCATAATGGATCATAATGGTACAATGGATTACAATGGTTGTTGGCGGAAACTACACATTTTATCACATGTTGGTCTATTTCTGGAACTTCCAAGCAGCTTTGAGGACTATCACACCATGGGCTTCATTCCATACTTGAGGAAAAAAACCTATCCGAGACACTGTGGGTACCCTACAATCATCCCTTATGGTTGTTGGTTGATGTTCCAAATTATGGCGGAAAAAATGTCCTTTGTTGGCCTTAATGATACTTAGCTTTACTAAGATCTTACTAAATTCACCAAGGCCAAGCTATGGCAGCGATGGATCCGCTTGGTGCACTCCACTTCTTGGCAGCACGGCATGGCAGCACGGCCTGTTCGATGAGCGTTGTGGGCAGGTTGCGCTCACCAAAGGTCAACGACAAATGTTCACATTCCAGGCGTCGAACCTGGCGATGGGAGCCATGAATTGCCGTGAATTCTGATGGGGCCATGATGTTGTCGAAATAGATCCTCTCGACTACTAGGGGGGCCTCATAATATTCAACCATTATTGTAGTTCATAATGTTCAACTATCACTATCAGACTATCATATAGGTGATTATGTAGTTGAGGCTATGTTTTTAGTGCAAACCATCCAATTCCTTGAGTTACGAAAGCTTCGCTGGTACCCTGGTACCCAGATCAGTCGAGAATGGTCATAGGCATCTGCAGGAACCCAAGAGACCGGGGCATCGATACGTCCAAGCATCTCGAAAAATCACCGGAAGGATGTGCCAAAAATATCCAAAAATGACACTTGACAGAACAGAAGGAAACACATATCACATATCCTTGAAGTTTGAGCTTTGCTCCATCTGTACAATGTCACAACATTTCACAGCTGGAAAAAACCGGATGTTTTGCAATGCTTGGCAGATGAAGTTCAATTAGAATCTCCGTGCTTTCATGCGCAGGTTCGGCCATTCCTTCTTCAGAAAAAAGCTTCTTCACGGCAATCTTTCAACATGGCTAATCTTGGATCCTGTGCAAAAATCGAGGCTCTAGCTGCCTAGTTCGTTCATGATGTTCCCCCTTTTTACTCTTGTCTCCATTTATGGCCAAAAGAAAATGAGATAGTAAGAGCTCTAGCTGGGCTCTAGCTGCCTAGTTTCTTCACTCATATCCCCATTTCTCTATGGCCTTTCAAAACATCCACCCTTTTCAACGACCGATCCCACACCGGAGTGGGTGGGTGGGCCCCCACCTCTTCCCCCGCACCAAGCGCTTGCATCACGTTCACAGGCTCTGAAACTGGTAGGAGCGGGTTCACCTTGGCCTCGGGATGAAGTGCCAGTGATCGATGGAAATGGTGCATAAGTGGCCTTCAAAAAAAGTCAAGCCGATTGTAGTGAATGGATACTTAAGTATTGAGGCGATTATCACTATCAGATTTAAGTCTTCAAAATTGGTTTGGGAGTTGGGGTTGCTATAAGCGAAAATCTACAGGAAATGGATGGAGATTGTGTGTTTCATCAAAGAATGAAAAAAAGAAGGAAATTGTCAATTACTCAGTGCTAATGGGAACACAATGAAATTGTATGAAATATTCAAATGCAAAAATTATTACACTGTACCTGCCTTGATGTCGCAAGCGGCAACCGCATGGAAACTTGCCGAAATCCATTGTCCCTCTCTGCCAAAAAAGATGCCTGTTCACATACCTAATTGTCTGTTGATTCCGGTGTTTTGGGGATTTGGGCCAACTATATACTGTGTATATATATATATAATCTTATACGTTATCCTTTAGTTCCAAAATCTGATGTAAATACTTCAGCTGGAATATTTGCTGTTTAGATCCCTACAGCAAAAAATAGTTTTTTTTTGGGCCTAGTAAGCAATCCTGAAGATAGTCAAAATATAATCATTTATATGATAGATGTGGTGAAATGAGAATATGATTGAAATATCAAAAGGCACCAAATTCAATCTAAGTAAACAAACCTTCACCATTGGTCGCTAACTAAGGTTACCCAGCTCCCCATGTTTCGTTTTGATGCTTAAAATCTGATTATTTGCCCAGTTTTCATCATTTTGTAACCTTTCTTCCACCAATTTACATCATTTCCCCATCATGTTCCCATCATGTTCCCACCACTTCTCCGTGATTTCCCATCATTTCTCCGTGATTTCCCATCATTTCTCTGGGGCATAAATTGTCCCTCCCCGGTGGCGTGGCTTTCCGGGTCCGCCTTCTCGGCGACCTTCAGCTCCACCCCATCGGGCGTGAAGTCGGGCTGCAGGGTGGTGCTCACCAACTCCTGGAACCTGACAATTTGGAACAAATATTGGGTCCAAAAGTGGGTCCAAAAGGAAAGGTATGTATGCATATCATAATATCATATCATATCATATCATACCATATCATACTAGTATCATATCATATATACATGTGTGTGTGTGTTTTCTTGTGCGTATGTGCGTGTGTGTTGTAATATATATATATTATCTTGAAAAATAATGCGTGCCATATAGTTTAGACACGGAGCAGGGGTCGCAGAGAGAGCAGAGAGAGAGAGAGAGACATAAACCAACATCTAAAGGATATATAGATGAATGCAACTGGATATTGAATTGCTGTAGACGTCAAATGTCACTATGGCGAAGTGGCCTTAGCTCGACCAACGCTGGAAGTCCTACAGCTTCCTTTCCACCAGAAAATGCATGGTATTGCGTGGTATTTCCATATCTTCCATGAGATATTCTGGTTGGTGGTGCAATAACCATCTTGAAATTTAAAATATTAGTCAATATTAGTCAATGGGAAGGATGACAACCCATATATGAAATGGAAAATAAAACATGTTCCAAACCACCAACCAGTATTTGATCATTTCCAACCCTTGGAGCTTAGAGGGGCCGCAGTGCCGCACCCTGAGCCAAAGTCCCGCCTCTGGCTGCGCAAATCCACCTTTTTCCTCAGCAAATGACCAAGTGACCAACTCATCCGTCCACGGACTTGTGGAAAATTGTGGAAATGGATTACCCTCTGGTGAACTAACATAGCAATGGAAAATCACCATTTTTAATGGGAAAATCCACTATAAATGGCCATTTTCAATTGCTATGTTAGTTCACCAGAGGGTATTTTCTGGCAGGAAGCAACGTTCCATTTTATTGTTACGAGTACTTGGCGGTGATTGATGGCTTTTAGCATTTGGATGTTTCCAGGTTGCCTACAAATCCTACAGCTGTCTTTTGGGGGCCCCCTGGGACCTTCAACACCGGGGGTCGAATGATCCGAGTGGCTGTGGATTCTTTGTCACGCAGGCGATGGGCAGCATGACGTATCGACAATTGATCTGACCTGGCGGTCCACGTCGGCCCCTCAACGGATCGTCCGTCCAGCCAAAGGGTAAACGGGTGATTGCTGGTGTCAACTTTCAACTTTCAACCCACATGAGTCACTTCGTATGATCATCCCAAATAGTATTTTTCAATATTTTTCTTATGGGAAACCATGCCACTAGGCTACCTGCAGCTACAACAAATCCTTGAACTGCCTGCACCACTCCAGGATGTCTCAGAGCCCGCACCTACTGTGATGGCTGTATATCCCGCCATGGCAGCATGTACCGCGTTGTGGCTCAACATGGAGCAGTAAACACCTGGGACCGCTGCCACGATGCTGCGATGGGCAAAGAAAAGGCCAAACATGGGATGTTTCACCAGGCACGGCTGCTGAAAACATCTGGAAACAACATTTCAATACATTTCATGGATAGAACCTGAAGAATACTGAAGTTCGCTCTTTCGTAGACTCAGCGACCTCTCTTTTTGCAAGCCACTCTTTCTCCGTGCTTCCAAAAAAGGCGGGGCAGAATTTGTACCGGACATTTGTTCAGACGCATCACTCAATTTCTCCTTGTTTTGGCTGGGTCATGCTGGGCCTATCTATCTCCATTTGTGCTCAAAAATTCCGAAACCACTCAAATTCGATCCATACCCACCTACCCTCTGGTAAATTAACATAGACCCTGGCAGTTGTTGGTTGGAAGACTAGTTTCCATTAAACATGGGTGATTTTCAGGGTCTATGTTTATTTACCAGAGGGTATCACCTGACATGGCAACTTCACTGACCCACAGCCCCCATGGTCCATGCGAGGCACTGTCATTGGCATTGGGTTTGATCGCTCGGATCATGTAGGTGGGGTCAATGTATTTAACCTCAGTCATCGGCACCCGGATGATGACTAATTATTAGATGATGATCATGATGTATAATATGATATATCATGATGATCATGATGTATGATGTATAATATGATATATCATGATGATCATGATGTATGATGTATAATATGATATATCATGATGATCATGATGTATGATGTATCATGATATATCATGATGATCATGATATATCATTGATGATCATGATGATTATCGTGATCAGTGCTGGTGCACATTTGCACATGCTGAGTGATGAGTGATGAGGAGCACAAGGTGGAGTAGGCGAAAAAGGACGATGTGACAGTGAATCATATTGAATCATTATAATATACATATACATGTACATATTATATATATGTGTATTATATTTCATTATAATGATCTTTCTGGGAACCATCGTAGGTACCTAATTTAATGGTGTAAGTAATTGTGTTTCACCTCTAGGATCATGATCCGCCGCCCATCAGTTCAACGCGTTCAACGCTCGCTAGATGCGCTAATCCGAGCCGCAGTCAAAGGCAATTTCACCTGAAGAACGAGCAGTCTTGCACCAGTTTAACATAGTTTAACTGTTTGATTCTCTCACTGGGCAACAGGTACCATAGGTGCCCACTATCAAGAAATCTCCCAAAGAGATGTGATCACATGGGAGGAAAACAAACATCCGCAACAGGCGGTCACCATTCGCTCATGGTTGCCACTCACGACCTGGTCCATCCTGGTCCCACATTCGCCTGCTTGAATCTCTCCACAATCTTGTCACGCAGCCAGGGGCCAACATCTGCCAACTTCTTGTTTCCTCCACCTTGGAAAATGACAACCATCCCTCCACTGGTCCACTCAACAAATGAGTTTGTTCTCCACCTTTTGGCATGTCATCCGGTGGACATTTCCAATCAAAAGAACCAACCTTTCTTTTGGCGCATGTTTTGTCCTCATTGTGCCTCTACTGAAACTCACCATCATACCTCAAATCCGAACCATCTATAATATAATATATATATAATTCCTTTCACAACATTCGGGGGAACTAATGGGAACAACATGTAAAAACACATCTTTGCATCACCAACATAACCAAAAGAGCTTGGGTTCAAATACTGTCGAAAGCCACATTGTGAGCGTTGCGATCTCATTACTGTTCTAATTAAGGTCGTTCAAATCTTTCAAAACCTCCAAATTTCCACCTCGTACTCCCAAGTTGATTGAGATCTTGAAGCACCTCCCATCAACGCATCATCTCCCAACTCATGGGGTCACCATGGTTACCCTTCAGTAAACGTGGCAATGGAAAATCTACCCATCTGATTATATACAGTTCTCCCTCCCAAAACAAAACATTTATGGTCGATTTCCCGTTTTTTTTTTGGGTGGTACTTAAATTTCCCAAATAGTAGGTTATAGTTGTAGTAGGTTTATGGCATTGGCTTTACCCGCATTCCAATTTGAGTCGCAAACCCTTCTATCCCAACTTCTGGTTCATGGTTTTTTGGAAGTGTACCATGGCTTACATCCTGGAAAAACCACGAAAAACCCATGGGTTTTACCCTAGATCTTTGAATTCTTTGATGATTTTCGGCATTCCAGCAGCATCTGCCGCGTTTTTTTTCAGCGCGGCCGCCGCGGCCCGTGCCATGGGATCCATCGGCCGCAGCTCCAGCGCCAGCGCCGCCAGGTCCGAGGGCCACGGCAGCGAGGCCACGGCGTCGTTGTAGCGCAGCGCCGAGGCGTGGAGGCAGAGACGAGGAGCGGAAGAAGTGGAAGCACCTGGGATTTCCATGGGATTTCCATGGGATTTTTGGTGGGATTTTGGTGGTTGATGGTGTCAGAATTGGGTTTCATTGATCCATTTTTCTGGGAGATAGAAAGTTGAGATATATCAAGAACAATTATGACCTTCCATGCTTGGGACGTCAAGTGGTTTCATGCAGTTTTTTTAAATTGGATATTTAATAATTAATCTTGAGATATAACCAACATGTTGGGGACATTTCATGGGGATATCAGGAGTGCTTTCGGAACTGTGGACTTGGCGGGGGCTTAGATCATAATGATTCATCATGATTCATGGCATATCATGATAGACAACATCTGATGGGGATGGCTTATCATCCAACTAGATGGAAATTTGTGGAACAGCAGGTTGTTGTTGAAGTAATTTTTCAACCATACAATGTTGGACTATCATGTGGGGGGAGGTCAGAAAGAAAAACATGTCTTTGGCGCCTGGTTTTTTTTCGAGATTCGGGGAGATTGTCAGCAACTGAGACATGAAGCTCTACCATGCTCTACCTACATCCTCCACCCGTCTGATGTACAAAATGATTGAAATTGTTGTGAATATGTCTGCACAAAAATGTGCCGACCAATCCCCAAAGAATTTGTCCAAGCTTTGTCTTGACATGGCTTGACGCGGCTTAAAAACATGCTGAGGCTCCATAGTCCACATCACCCAGCAGTGGATGACCACATCCTGACAGATGGGCTCTGATCTGGTGCTGCCGACCGGTCTGAAGCTGCAACATCACCAGGCTGCTCAGCCGACCCTCGGGGAGCTCGAAATGAAAGACCTGCTCCTTAGGATTGGCCCCCAGCTGGAGAAAATTGCAATATGAGTTCTATGTTCATGTTTGAGGATCTACCGACATGACTGTTTTTCATCAATCTGCGATATCTTTTTTTTGGGGGGCTGCTTTCAAACTCAGGCAGCCCCCAAAAAGGTTGAAACCAATGACCAATCCTGACAATGAGCAAATATAAATATGAACCAGTATGAAGCAGTATGAAGCAGTATGAAGCAGTCATATTCGCAGTTGAATGGGTTTTGAATGTCATACCCTCAAAAAAAAGAGATAATTTTGAAATTCCTGTGATACCTGACAAAAAAACACGCGAACAATTGGAAGGTCCATCAATTTCTTAGCCGAGCTTCCAGGGAAGTGACGCTCGCCTTCCCACCATCCTTTGCCACCTCCATGCGCCGACGACCATCAGCTACTTGGCGTAACGGCGACGTGATGAGGTGAGGCGAACGGCAAACCAAACCTGGACGTCGTTGGGTCAAGTGGGTCAAGTCGGGAGCTGGGGCCCCAAAATATGCTGGTCCTTAATGGGTCTTTTTGATTATTTCTGGGCCTTCGTGTTACAAGAAAACCAAAGACATCTAATGTAAAAATTGGTTGTCTACAAAAAAATATGACTTAATAACCCATCCGGGTTGATGAGGGAAGAGCTGGAGGCCGCAGGACCAATTCCAGGACTTGCCGGGGAATTTTTCTTGGAACCAATTTTGAACATGCAGCTGTGTCTTTTCTCTCCCAAGAACAACTGAAAACACGACTTTGCGGCCAGCTCTCTTCCCTGATTTTTTTGCCTGCATGGTGTTGATCAAGTGTGGCTAGTTTAGATTTCGTTGTTTACGGTAAATGCATGTAAATGCTGCCTGGTGTTTTAGAGATACTCTGTGTTCCACAAAGGTCTTGCTCCCTTGGAGCCAATATATTATAAATATCATTGCATATAAAATTATATATATATATACGCATTGATCGTGTGTGTGTGTAAAGAAATCCCCGTCCCCATACCTGCATCTAATATGGTATACAGATTTATACAGATGTATACAGAGCTATATTGATATATATATATATAATTATATATAATTGTATGTTTATTTATTTATATATATATTTATTTATTTAATTAATTTATTTATATAATTATATGTATATATTGTGCATCTCCATTTGCTTACAAAAACACATCGACACTGCGATTCCCAAGTCATCGAGGTGTCCGTAGCTTCGCCTTGGCACAAGCAGGTGTATTCCTTTCGCAGCTGCTCCCGGGTGGCGAACTGTAGCCGTGCTGCGAAGTAACCTGGCGACGATGTGATACGATGTGGCACCAATGAAGCTACAAAGGGCTGGCCATTTGAAATCTTAACCTTACTGGTGTAGGAACCACCAAAATAGATAGAAGTTGGTAGACTCCTAGACTAACATAGTGGTAGATCAGTGTACATTAAATTATATGATGTTCTATCTTTGTGGGGTTACTGCAATTTTGTGGGGGGCAAACCATTTTGAGCCACAACTATTTGCAAGAAAAAAACTAGAAGAGCTTCATATTGCTTCATACATGGATATCCATGGAAAGCCCAAATTTCCTCTTCCTCATCGAGTCATGTTGGCGGGCTTGAGCGCTCCCCCATGATTCCAAAGCCAGGACCCCATCATTGAAACTTGTATTCTAAATGGCTCGGCCAGCCTGGGTCACAGCCCACATTCTGGAAATCACTCTCACCAAGAGAAGAAAAGTACATCACAATTCAATATATGATATTCAAATATATTCAATTCACACTCAGACTATATTAACAATTCTGGAGTCACTTGTCGAATTACTCAACCCCCCGCAGCCCCTCGGGGCGCCACTTCGGTAGCTGCTGGCCCACAAGATGAGGCCAGAGGTCATCCGGTCCAGGCGATGCAAGAGGCCGTGGGAGACGCTGGGGTCAGTGGCAATGGGGAAAGCGTCACCTCAGCGCCGGGAGCTGCTGGAGCATGCTGGAGCCATCGAAAATCGAATTCAAGAGAGGATTCAACAAGAAACTCAGCTGGAAGAGCCAGACTCAATAAAAACATCTGTTTAAAATATAATATGATGGTGTTACATGGTGTTACTGGCTGCGCCAGCAGAAAGTCTTGATCTGCTGAGTTGTTGTTTTTTATTATGTTGTCTTTATTGCGTCCGTTGATGTCCATTGTTGTGCTTTTTAGAATCTCCTTTTGGACATTGAGTGTTTGAACCAGTTTTCAAAACATTGCTGGAGATGTGCCCCCTGGCCCATAACCCCTTCCTGGCTTGGTCTCAGTCGCCAAACTGCTCCACCAGCCAAGCGGACAGCTCACGTCCGGAGGCTTCTTCGGCTTCAGGGGTTATTCCTCGGAGATCCCCGCTGATGATCTGAAGATGCACCCTTTACCCCTCCGGAGTCTTGTTTTTTCGAGGGGGCCGGAGAGTGTTAAGAATAGCATGATGAAGGGTGCTGGCTTCATGATTCTTATTGATTCTTGATCCACCTTCACCCATTTTGTTGGGGCGATCTGGGATTTGGGCCTCCATTCTGTCCATCCTCACCCATTTCCCTCACCGGGTCTCCAACCGTCAGCCTCTCACTACCCAAGTCGTCACGATCAACGTTCACCCACCAGCCTGGAGGTTTCCTTGGTGGCTGAGCCAGCCGTTCAGGCAGCTAAGGGTTCCAAAAAAAATGAGTCAACTGGGACTCATCTGCCCAAGCCCCAGGGAAGATCGAAAGTGACAGGTTTTTTTATGGTCGGCGATAGTTTCAATCTCAGTTGTCATTGCCACGCTGCCATTTTGATGGGTTATTGTTGTTGGTAAAAGCACGGAACGTGTTCACCGCCAAACCAACCACTTGTTGAGACAGTTGGGGAATACAGGTCCTTGGCTTTCAGCATGATTAAGTTTCTGCTCGAAAACATCAATTTTATCTTGATCTCAAGCATGCTTGAACTACCATTGCAGGGGGTGAACAAAAAATGTTTCCAGGCCTACACACTCAAAAGGCTGAAACATTTCAGCTCACATTGGCTCACATTTATTTTTTTTGCAGTTGAGTAATGTCAAGCAGCATGAAGTTCCATATTGTTCCCACCTCTTGGGGATTGACAAACAAAACTGGTAGATTTTATGGTAACAGTTTGCTATGGAAAATCACCAATATTCTTAAAGATTCTTAACAGGTGCATGGATATATATATAGTGTGTGTGTGTGTCATTACGTGTCTATCTACCTACCTACCTGGTACCTACCTACCTACCTACCTACCTATCGTATCTATCATATCTATCATATCTATCATATCTATCATATCTATTCATATCTATCATATCTATCATATCTATCATATCTATCATATCTATCATATCTATCATATCTATATATATATATCATATCTATCATATCTATCATATCTATCATATCTATCAATCAATCAATCAATCAATCTATCTAGCTAGCTATCTATCTATCTATCTATCTAACAAATAATCAGAAGCTACATAGCAGTATAACAACATTTTTGTTGATGCTGTTCCCATTGAAACATCTTCAAACATGCACATGTCTCTGGATTTCCCAATTTCTCCCCGTGTCTGCCATGTCAGATTATGTCAGATTGCCCTGGTGCCCAGTTTCCACAACACATAGAGCTCCTCCGCCAATTTCTGTAGCACCGAAGGCCTCTCCCCAACTCCTTTGCCGCGGCCCAGCACGATCGGCGTTTCGCGTACGGCCGCATCCAGGCGCTTGCCGCGAAGCTCCAAGGCGTTGGAGGCGGCGGAATGCCTTGGTGACCACCAGTGGCTTGAGGTCATGGTCACTATTGGGGTGAAATATGGTAAGATATGGTGAGATGTTGGGGTTTACTGTTGGGTTCAATTTTGGGTTAATTATGGTTGACTATTCATTGAATGTATTGATGGACGTTGATGGAGAATCACGCATTGTCCTCAATTTGTTGAGTGGCACGAATGACCTGGTGAAAAAACAGATAAAACTTAAAACTGTGAACAAAACAAAAAAGGCGGAGAGTTTTGGGCAAACGATAAGATACAAAGCTTCAAAGACCTCCCCGTGTTGCCCTGCGCAGGCAGCCACCAAGCTCTCCAAGTCTGCCAGCGACGCTGTGATCCCTTGAGCTTCGATCTGCTGCACGCTGGTGGCGGCGAGGACGTGCCAAGTTGGCTGGTGAGATGCTGCTATGGTGGAAGATGCTCAAGCCAAGTTAGACAGCTCCTGCCTTTTTTGACTCAAGGGCACCCATGGGGCACCCCCAAGTCGTCAAAGGTCGGCCCCCCAAGACACATAGGCGGCTTTGAAAACTGTCTAATACACTTTCGAAGATAAGTGGGTAAGATACATGTTTGGGGGGCACCTTGATGATTGGTGCGTTCAGCGCAACCCAAAAATATGAACTTCTAGTATCCTCTAGTATCCTCACCCCATCGGGAAAATAAAAAAGGATTTGAAACCATCAGCCAGCCGCAGTTTGAACTGACCACTTGGAGCATGTAGAAACGCATCTGTCAGCACCACCTTGGTTTTTCGAAAGGTGCTCGTAATATCTCTTGACGGAAATTCCACTTCAAGTTTCTGGATGCTTCGAACATGTACGTGTTCGCCCAGATATAGACACAAATCACACTTGTATAGATATATATAGATATATAATAACATCAAATCATTTCCTTGGATACCTATATTCCAGTGTATTCCATTTGATCCTTGGGCTGAGCAACATCCGTTCAGAAATTCATTTAGGTGGCCTCTCCATACTTTTCAATATGCTGCGCCATACTTTTCATAAATCCATGTCGGGTTGTTTCCTAGAATAGGGTTACCCCAAAACCTATTGGTTTCCGGAATCACAAATTTCTGGGTGATTTTTTGCTATCCCACATGTCAAGAAAACCCTTAATGTTAAGCCATACCAATCACCAGCACCATGCCACTATGGTACCTTGCAGGCAGAATCATCCACTATCAGCCGAGCAAAGGTCCAGGCCACGTTCGCCACATCCTGATTTTGGGGTCCCTGCAACTGCATTGTTGTGCCCTCCTGGATATCAGTTGGTTTAGAACCCCATCATAAGTTATAGATTATATCTATCTATCTATCTATCTATCTATCTATATCTATCTATATCTATCTATCTATCTATCTATCTATCATGGAGCTAGGTTAAACACTGGCAAACCCAAGTATGGGGCAGGGGGCACCACCAAATTTGGGGGATCATCCGCAACAACTGGTGAAAAGTGCTGTGAATGAAGCAGCCTGACACGCCATGTCTTCCGGAGACAGGGATGCGGCAATGGCATGGAGCAGCGGCTTCTTGCAGGTACCTAGGACGCCAAACGGGCATGCAGGCCTTAAGAACTTGCAACTTTTTCCTCCATGATCTCAAGCATTCGCAAGTAATGTTAGTAAACCAATAAGTTAAATAAGTAACTACCCATATGATGTATTCTGGTGGTTTATGCCACCCATGGTGATTTTTTGGGATGGCTTACTATTGCTTTAACACTATATTTTAATATATTTTATACTATTTTAACCATCTTTAACCTATTTTAACCACATTATATCAATTAACCTGTTGAAATCTGTTGAAGCCTTGATGGAATGTCTTGGATCAGGCCTCCGGCTGACACCGAGCGACTGAGGGTCCCAAGGTACCACGCGATGCTGACCAGGACTCGGGAGGAGAACTCCATGAGGCGGGCCATGGAAACGGCCGCGACGTCCGCCATGAGTTGCGGGTCCTCAGGAGGCGCTATAGCAGGAGTCTTGGAAGTTTTTCAATGGAAATTCCTTTAAAAAAAACATTAAAAACATTTAAAAAAACAGGTGTTTGCCATCGCTTGCTGCGAATTTCCAAACATATTTCAACATCACATTCTCTCCCTGAGGTCCCGCTCCTCATAGCCCAGCTTGCCCATGGCCCAGAGGAAGCTGCCCAGCTCCTGCTCTCCACCTCCCAGTACCGTCTCTCGCGCCCGGCTGAAGGCCACCAGCAGCGGCACATCGCGCCAGGATAGTGAGGCGAAGGTCCACAGAGTGTTGGCCATGCACTGCGCGTCCAGCTGCCTGGAGCTTTTTGGGGAAAGGTTGGGAAATGTTGGGGTGCTGTTAAAATTTACGGGCTCTACATGGTTCTACAATTTTCATGGGGTACCATATGGGTATTCATGGGTTTTCCATGGTTTTCCAATCATTTCGGTTGTCAGGAGTTTTTTTTGTTGTTTTGTCGGTGAATTTTCGGATGGTCAACGGTATACCCCAGGTTTTGGACAGATCGATTTGCTGGTGCTTAGATGTTTGGTGATGTTTGGTGTGGTGTGGGTGAAACTTGGGAACCTCCTTGGAGTGTGACTGTTGAAAAGTCATGGGTTGCAGGAGGGAAATCTTGTGGTGTCTAAAGGATCTGAAATATTGACGTATCCTCCCCCGTGGTCCTGGTGTCGGCATAGGCTGCAGCTTCCCTGGCCAGATCGCTCATCAACCCGCTGATGTGCAGCACGGCAGCCCCTCACGCTGCATTGGCCAGTTCTTGTGCACCAAAGTCTGCGCATCGCTGGTGGATCAGGGCACTGAGAATCTCCTGCACCGGTGAGGTCCTGAGATGCACCAAAGATCACCAAAATGGGGCACTGAGTACCAATCCGTCTCAAAACGTGTGGTAAACATGGGTGAACGTCCCAAAATGTGGGCTAACAGGGAGGTTCAGATGCAATACATGTGAAGTTATTCAAAAGCCTGAAATTGAACTTAGGTGACTAGCCAGCAGGCCTCAAGACCTTGCACAGCCAAGTCTGAAGTAGCCCCAAAGACTTCCAAAAATCATCACAACAAGACAACGACTCCATAGAAGCCCTGAGCAAACCTGCACAGCAAGCGTCGCACACGCCATTCTGGCAAGTGCCCAAGCAATATTTGCCACCCCCTGTGGTGCTAACTCACTTCCTTTTGACCACAGCTGCCAGGTCAACGTTTCCAAGAACGGCTGCGGCTGATGCTTCAGGGTACCACGTCCTCACGCGATGTTACTCAGGCTTCGGGGCTCCAGATCTGCCGCTGCATGGGTCAGGGCCGTCATCATCTGCTCCTGGGCGGGGTGTCAGAGGTTGGTGCTGTACAATCTCAACTCACGACCCAGGCATCCAAAGGTAGTCTTGTTATGTAGTGATGAAAATTCCGTCAATATATTATTTAAAAACATATGTACACACTATATCTATCTCTCTCTCTCTCTCTCTCTGTGCTGATGTATGTAATATAAATAAAAACAACACCAGTTTTGTCATCGTGTGAGAATCTAATCAGATTATATACATCCATACAAAGTAGCCACACCAAGAGATGCCAAGAGCCATGCCTAACCTTCACTCTCATCCCATCCCATCCCTGCCTCATAGATTTCCACCTTGGCGAAGCCTCAAGCGATGCCCGCCACATCCCGCCCTCGAACTCTCGCAGCCAGGCGACACAGCACCGCGGCGCCTAGCCGACGCCACAACGACTCTTCCCGGGCGCGGAGGGTGGCAAGGCACCAGGCGAGGTGGGAAAGCTTCCTTGGGCTGGGGGTTGGCCCAAAAATCTGGAGACTGTTTAGAAGAAGTGTGGGGGATTTTAAGCGTAAAAATTGCACTTCAATTCTATGCCATAGTAAAAACATGATGGGTCAAGTCCAAGAATCCGGGTGCAGGAACCCCCATAATCCATGAGAATCCATTGAGTCCCTGTCCACTTCAGTGATTAAAAAGCATTCAGTTTGGGGGTTAGATAATTTAATGTTAGATACTATTTATCACAATTCCATGTGGGTTCATCTGGTGGACACGGGTTTGGGACGCACCGTGTCTGTCCCTGCACAGATTGTGAAGCATTGTTTCACGATGTGTTGTGAGATGTGTTTGCGCCCCGTTGGGAAGACTATTACTCCCTGAGATCTCCAGATCCCATTGCCCAGAACAGAAGGACAAGGTTCTGCGGGGCTAGTTCTTCCAGATTCTGCAGTGCAACATGGACAATGGAATCAACGATCCTTCGATCTCGCTCCTGCTTGTGCAAAACTGACAGCTGCTTGGTGCTTTTTAAAACCCTACCCACCACCCTCCCTACCTACACCACACTAGTTTGATGTTGAAGGCAATCTGTCACTCACACCATTGCCACAAAACAGGGTTGCTCCCCAACACCCCAAGTACTTTTTTAAAAAATTGGCTAAATTCGGCTACATATAGTGGTAAAATGGCTAAATGCGCCCCCTTGTGGCTAGCGAAAGATGGGGGCAGGAGCCCTGCAAAAGGTCCTTCAACTTTGCAAAACACCAAGCAAAATGCGCCAGCACCTGCGCTGTCGCGGGCTGTTCCTTCGCCCACTCCTCTCTGAGCTCGGATTTGGAGGTCTTATTGCGAAGCGATCGGGCAGATGCGAGGCAGAACGCACCTCAGAGTCGCAGGTCTGACAGGGGAGCCCCAAGAGGAATGAACCTTCCAGATCCTCGAAGGGTGTCATGTTATGATGACTTCTGATGACTGATAACTTCATTTCCTAGCTATCTGAATCATTCTGAATCTTGCCGGTGGCAAGGCTCAAAGGGAAAGTTAGCGCGGCAAGGTCTTCCAGGTGGCCCCCAGCGGCTGATGCAATTGGTCCCCAGGGACGCTTCTCATGCAGGCGGCCGCGGCGGAAGGCGGTGACGGCAACTCCATCAAGGATGGATGGAGTGAAGCTGGTCACATACGGAACCAAATGCGCAAGGGTGTGTATGTGCCAAAAGCCAAAGTGACTAAAGTAATCTAAAGTAAGGACCCAAGGATGTCTAGGCCTCAATTTACCACACAAAATGACCCAATCATCCAAAATCTCATCCAAAATCATCCAAAATCATCCAAAATCTGGATTTTACTGGAGGGCTTGAAATTCCGATCCGCAGCCAAACCTATAGCTGCTGTTTCCATCGATTGTTCAGTCATATTTTCTCAAGCTGCCTGGCTGCAATTGTCTCCCACGCGCACCATCTTGAGCCAGCTGCTGACGCAGTAACTGACTAGCTCAGTGCGGCTGGAGCTGGTTCAGAAACTCGACCCATTCAGAATGTTTTAGCCCTCAACATGGGAAAAATACCACCAACCAATGGGCCGGTTCCAATTCCCAAAATCCATGAATCAATGGATTGGTTGAATAGGGAAAATCTTAACCGGAAACCAGAGTGATTTTCCCATGAAGATCATGGGGGCTTAAACCAGTAAATTTTCCCAACAAAACCAATCCATGGAATGAAAATCCCAACTCAAAATCCTCAGTATTTGCCAGTTGAAATCCTCAGGTAGCCGCCGTCGACTTCGCCGGAACTCTCCAGCAGCGTGTCGCCGCAGCCCTCGGCCACCACCACGACGCAATGTGCCTTGGACCTCGGTAGAAGACAACGGATATAGAAATGATGATTAAATCATAGAATTTAATGGGTGTACATGTATATACAGTATATACAGTATATCTATCTATCTATCTATCTATCTGTCTGTCTGTCTGTCTATCTATCTATGAACCTATATCTATATCTATCTCTCTATCTCTCTATCTCTCTATCTCTCTATCTCTCTATCTCTCTATCTCTCTATCTCTCTATCTCTCTATCTATCTATCTATCTATCTATCTATCTATGTGTGTGTATGGATTTAATGATTATTTATGATCCACTTATCGTAATTCATGTATCCAATATCTACTCACTTATCCATCTAGATATATATATATAATATCTAAGAATGAGATCTGAAGCAAATAGATTCCATGGATAGTGTGTGGATAGAAATTCTATGGAAATTACTTGTCAGTATCAAAACAATAACATGAAAAGGAACACAAGAAAGTCGAATTTGATTGTACGAAGTTGCGAGGCGGAAATCATCTACAATCTACAGATTTCTACCGATATCTTCAGTACAACATCCAAGACATCCTGGTCTTTTCTTGATCCATTTGGATCTACTTGGCGGGTCCTATGCCAGAATGGACAGTTGGTGGAGTCTAGGGTCCTCAATCAGAGGCCTTGACTCTGTCAGCGTTCCCGACAAGCCGAGGTGCTGCATAAGTTCCAAGATGTGCTGCAGCACCTTTTCGAGGCCTCAGAAAAGAGCCAAGAAATCAGTTTGGATGAGTTGCCTTCTTAGTCATTCGTTTCTTGTTGCCTAGCTCTGTTTACTGGCATGATTTTTCTGGCCCATACCCAGTAAATCAATGTAAATCACCACTAAGTCCACTTAAAACATCTTAAAATCCCCATTCAAAAAAAAAAAAAACATACAAAAACTGAGTTGACAATGAAATCCCTATGAACTCCACCGCACTTCGCTGCCCCCGATCCCAGTGGCTGATGGTCATCTCCGGCAGCAGCACGATGTCCGCATGCCGGGCCGCCAGCCCGGCATGCAGCGCGATGAAGCCAGAGTGGCGTCCCATCCTGCGATGCACGAGATTTCAATGGCCACAGGTAGCGATCCACTGGAGGTACTGTACCATCTAAAGATATCAAAAGCCACATCTTGGAGGTATATCGCCTGAAATTCAGACCTTATACATGGTAGGTACCTCCCATTTAGGTTCCTGAAATGGCAACTAAACCCTGGGCTGTCCAATTGGGAGGGGATCATTTTTGTACGAATGAATCAACCAGAATTTTATCCATCCGGAGTTGACATTACAAGATTTCTATAGATTTCTTGTAAAGGGAGAGGCCACCTGTAACATTCTTTGAAAAGTTTACGAATAACAATCCCAGCAAAAATAATACGCCGTTTTTGGGTTTGGCTAACCGTTGTCACCCTGCTGTGAGACCGTTGATTTACCCAGAATAACAACAGTAATGATGATAAATATGATGATGATAATGGTGATGATAATGATGTTTATTAATTAATAACGACAACAACAACAATAATGATGATAAAAACAACATCATACAACGTCAGTTATATAGATTTGTGTGAAATCAAAATGAATGGCCATAGCACAGTAATACAGTATTATCCATATTAAATGGCCATGGATTGAAAAGGAGAACCATAGAAACATAGGACGCTATAGTTATCGGTATGCATTGTTCATCATTATTATGAATACTGATAAGACCATCCTCATGCATAAGGAATGATCAAAATAGTCCTATCTCAGGTTATTACCCCATCAACCAATATTATGAACCAATCCTGTCAACCTTCATTATTAGTCCATCAGCCAATCCTATCAACCTTAAAGTAGCCCCAAAAAAAGATAGCAAGTGATCACTATTCTAGTGGCTTTCTGCCATATTTAACCAACCTACCAATCCTTTTTTGGTGATCTCAAGTTCTTTTCCACCAATCCTCCATGGATCCATATCTCACCCTGCCAAGCGGCAACTTCACTAATCCGATGCAGTTGGCGTTGCAGGTGGCCTCTACATAGGCGGCCTCAATCATCTCTGCATCCCATGGGAATCCGGCATGGGCATCACTGATACCCCCTGGTGATTTCAAAGTGACTTCCGGAAATAAATCTATAAAATTCTATAGTTGTATATGTATATATGATATGCTTGAAACACAAATATATAAATTATATCAATTATATATATATATATATTTATATATAATTATATACATATAGCTATTATATAATTCAGTGGATATAGGACCCCAATAAAGTTCAACGATTGCAGGAAAGTAAATCCTGCCACCAAATGCTACCAGTGCTACGCGGATGTTCCCTTTGAGGTCATCACCTTGATGGCTCGTTCTGCTTCCATACAGGCAGTGTCAAAGCCTCGGGGTGAACTCTGCTGTACCACACGATGTGGGAAACAAAAACGGGACACCGTGAGAAAATGTGAGAAACCCAATGGCTTTCACCGGAATTTTCTTTCGTCCGCTTCACCACTGCCGTGTGAGCCGGGAATTCTCCTGTTTCCGGCTGGTTCAGAAAAAAATCCTGCCGTCCGCGACGACCCGCCTTTCAGCTGCACTCCTGAGGCTCCGGCCGAAGGTGCAGTCCAACATTGGAATGTCATTGTCGATGGTCTTTGGAATGCCCACGACCTGTGACAGATGTGACCTCTGGCATTTCTGGCCTCGTGATTGGTTGAGGTCCGATCATTTTTCAAAGGCAACAAAGGGAGGTAGCATCAGAAATGACGCTGATGCATCTGATATCATCAATGATACATCTAAGAATCTATGTGCATGTATGTAGAGACATAATTAAACACACACAGCCACACAGCTATCAAAAACATATTGGTCAACTCATGTCAACTCCAACTTTCATTGGATCTGTTGGTTCACATTGCCCAGCTGGAGATAGCTGGAGTGTGTCACCCTGCAACCAAGGTGCAGAGCAGTTCCAGTTTTTCTCCTTCATCAGTTCAGCCATTTCATAGGCACCACGATGGGTGCCATCTCCACCAATGATGAAGTGTGCGCCTGGGAGCTTGCTATCCCCTGCCACTACTCCACCAGTACAACTGGGTTATAACATGTTATAACCCCACTTACTAACCACGCCAAGCCATACCACACCAACCAGCATTGAAATTCGCTGCTGCTGGCGTGGAAGCCAGCACCACAGACCATGAGTTTGGGCAAGCATTGAGGCACACACGTACGCCCATGTCCATCAAGACTTGAGATTGCTCCTGCTGCATGACATGGAGAATCACCTATTATACCTATCGGATCCTATTGGATCCTATTGGATCCTATTTGATCCTATTGGTCTACATGGGTCAAGATTTGATACCTCCCCCAAAATCCAAAGAAGAAAATCCTGAACGATCCTGGACCTCATCCCCACTGCAGCTGGGGCCAGCCATGTTGTGGTTAGTCAGCGGTTTTTGCTCCTCCTCTGTAGGGTTTCCACGGTCGCTGACCAGGATGGTCCTCAGGGATTCGACATGATTCGACAGCCACACAGCCAAGGGAAAGATATAGCAATGATATGGTGATAGCTTGACCTGTTTGGATAACTTTCAAAAGATCTTTCATATAGTTCTATAGCACTTGTAAAATCTTATAAATGTCCAATGTGGTGATAAGCTACTGTTTGAATATTTTGGCACTGAGTGATTCCTCTTGGCACATCTTGGCGCCTTTGGTGAGAGGTGGTCTGAGGCGCCAACCCTCCCATAGAGTTGATATCCTTCAGCCAGGACTTGCCGTTGAACACATCAAAGCCCGAACAGATTGATCCATGAATAAAACTGGGGATATGGAAAAATCTGAAACCAACCCCCCAACTACCCGGTACCCCCCCACACTAGAAATATGATGAAATATATACCCTCTGGACAACTAACAGTTTGCTATTGAAAATGGCCATAGAAATAGTGGATTTACCCAGCTACATAGCATGGTGATTTTCCATAGTTATGTCAACGTTTACCAGAGGGTAATCCTTGGACATCCTTTCGCGACGGCGCCTGCACACTGCTGGGGGTCAGCTCCATCCAAGTCTCAGGTTTCACCACCTGCATGGCTAGCTGCGTTTGGCAGCTACATCGTGAAACTGGGGAGATCACACCATTGGTTTTACGGTTATCTATATAAACACATCATACATCTATATTTATCTATATTTATCATTCTCACCCACCTTTCGCATCCTTTTTATCTTTGGTTTGCCGCCAAGCGACTCCTTTGTAACCCCCGCGGATTCCATAGATCTTCTGGACCTCAGAAATGTGAGCCGTGGCGCCACGGGATGACAGCTGTCAATCGACAGGAGCTTGGCCACAGTGAGGTCGCCACACCATACTGTGCCAGCATCATCACCAGCTCGCGAATCACCTTGGACCAGCGGAAAAATTCTCAGCTTTTTGAAAACGATAAAAATTGCGGAAGAATTCCCATTGCACTTCAGATCTTTCGCCTGGGATACACACAAACAAGTCACTTTCTCTATCTTTCTCTCTGCATACACATATGCATGACATGTGTGTTTATATATATATATATGTGTGTGTGTGTGTGAGTGTGTGTGTGAGTGTGTGTGTGTGATTGCGTGTGTCTAACAAATATATATATATATGTAAAATTAATTATAATATATATATAGTTTTACTATAATTTGTCCTTCTCTCCAATATCAAAGGATTCGGATACCTCTCTATGGGCCCAGCCGACATCCCCCTCACCATTCCCGGGCCCCAAACGGCGTTCAACCCGGGGCATAAGCCCCCGCAGGTCACCACCGTGGCCACCATGTCTTGTGGCTCGAAATGCAGCACCGACCTGCCGAAACACCGGGCATCACAACGTGCACCGGAAAAAGGTGGATGAAGATCAAACAAATACAGAGACTCAAAAGGACAGCAATAATAGCTTTAAAATAGTAATCACAATAATATGTATACAACTGTATATATGTATACATGTATATATATACATATATATATATGTACGTATAATGAACTATATATACAAATATAATTAAACATATTCGCCAACATATTATTATATAAATTATATATATATGTGCGTAATTGTATCCGTGGTTGTCTGAAAAAATAGTGAATCTACATGAATTCACCTCAATTTGTTGCTATTTTAAGGGAGATTATGATATGACCAGCCATGACCAGCCGAAATTGGCCGAACTCAACTTTGCAGCGTGGTACTGAAACTCCACTGTCGATCTTGTATTGAAACTCCATAGTTCCTACAATTCCATGGGCCATGGGCAAAGAATCATGGCCAATCTTAGGTACATTTCGGTGCCCTGCCAAAAACTAGATTGTTCTGGACCCTCAATCGTAGCAAAAATGTTTGTATCAATTGGCTCTTGTGCCATGTTTATGGCAATTGTATCACTCTTCAGCCAAACGAGAGTAGAATTGCGCAGAACTAGCGAAAGTATGCAGAAGTAGGTGGCTCTTGGAGATGAAAGTTGAATATGTTGAATACATTGGACATCCTAGAAGCAGTTCTGATTCTAGGTCGTAACAAGATCTGCAAAAAATATGGAAAGAAATCGGACACCAAACGGGCGCAGGTGTCAAACAGGTTCATGAACCATCAATCGGGCACAAACTAGAGTGACATAGAATGACCAAGCTTCAGCGAATTTACTAAGATTGTTTGACAGTCAGCTTCTACACATTTTCGCACAACTTATACTATGCATTCGGATGCATTTGGCTTACTGTAGTGGGTTGGGCTGCTACCCATACTCTGGTGAAATCAGACACCATCCTGCCTGGCCCCTGCCAGGGGCATCTGGTAGACGCATTCAGGACCTCAAAGCGGTGAGTTTTCCAGGTGTACTTCGTATAGATTGGAGTAGCTTAGAATTATATAGATAGAATTGGGTTCAGTATGGTTGGATTGATTGTCTTTTTATATTTTTTCTAGTTTGGCTCAGATTTCGATTAGGTTGGATTAGATTGGATTAGATTGATAATCTGATAGGAACAATATAGGAACATAGGGAGATAGGATGAGATAGGGAGATAGATTTCCTAGTGCTTTTGTCCTGAACGTCCTTCATATTTTTTCCCACCTCTTTTTCTAGGGTGAATTCTGGGGGCGGGATTGGTCGTCTCACCCTGGTTCTGCCCATGACAGGACAGTTTTCTGTAAACGTTCCCGTGAACATCCTGAAACGAATGACCTTCGGATGTGCACTCTTTGCGGCACCTAAGTTTAACAAAACCAATCTGAAGTGGGTCGAGCCCTCTGAGTGTTAAGCTGTCAAAGGAGATGGCCTGCCAAACGTCAGAAACTGACTAGGGTCGTAAAATTGAACAAACAGTCCCGAATTGCTTGGCTGATCTGATTGATTGACCTGTGTCGCAAAGGCATCTCGGGCCACAAAGCGGCTCACAATGTCGGTCCTTGGCCACGGATTGGGTGGAGAGGTATGGCCCGGTATGGCAACTGCAGAAAGGCTAAACGCTGGTGGTTGCAAAAGCCGTGTCGCTTGTGATCCAAGTGAAACCGCTGATGCAACCATGTTTCAGAGGTGATGGCACGTTCTTTCCAGGAAATACCTGGCAAGGACACTAAGTCCAAAACTGATCCCAGTGTGGTCCTGTAGCCTCTATCCGACCATTAAATCATGCCCATAGGGACAACTCTGAAGCATCCTGAAACATCCTTAAACCATACAATTTTGGCCTAAAGGCATCCAAAGGCCTCAAATGCCTCTCCAGTTCGTGCACTCCAATCTGGTCGCAATGGCATGCAAAACCTCAACCATGCTACAGCCTAACTATCGCCCAAAGCGTTGCTTGGGCACGGGTCAACACGTACGTACCCCATTCAAACTATCAAAAAACATGTCAAAAACGGCCCAAGAGATCATAAATCATAAGATATCACAAGATATCATAAGATCTCAAAAGATATCTCACCTGCCCAGATCCATAAATTTCCAAGGACGGGATTTCCTCCCAGTCCAGCTCCGACCCTGGATAAATCGTCGATCAGGAGGCGCCGCAACTCCGCACCAGGCGGAAGGACGTCTTTGGCCTTGACACGCAAAAACAAGGGGGTTCAACATGGCTCAACCATCCTTATGTAATAATATATAGATATATATAGCCTATAGCATGCTAAATAACCCCCATTAACCCCCTATGGGCACCCACTAGATCTGACTAGATCCAATGTGATCCAGTACATCCCACCAGCATCTCGCTGCTGACGTTTAGATACGTGTAGTATTTTCAGGGGGGACTAACAACTATCCAAAAACAGGTTACAACAGTAGTGTTCCCCTTGGTTGGTTTGATCTCAATGTACCAATCCTCCATTTGATGGGCCCTCACCTCCAGCTGCCGCAGTGTCAAGAGTTTTCCATCAAAGTCTTCCACCACAAAGGCTGGTTGATCAAAGCCCTTCTTGTGGGGCCTCGGAAGGCGCCGGGCCAACACGCGCCTGATGGTTGGAGTATGGAAGCGGAAGGATTTCACATCACATATCAAGAATTTGGCCAAAAAGAAACATGGCATTTCTTCATTTGCCCCCCTGAATGCCACGCGAACACGCCAAATAACATCAAACAACAGAGTTTGGCTCGGGTTTTCATGTTGTTTTTTTGTCAGCCTATCTCCACCGACTGAATGCTACTGGAAAAATACTACTCCAACACTAGTCCTTCAAATTCGTCCAAAATGGACATACCCACAACACTGCCAGGGTTACTGAGGAGTCTTACTGTTAGGACATGTGATGGCATGTTGGGCATGTTTTGGCAACAGGACTTTATGGTTATTGCAGTTGGTTTCACACCTCCGCCTTGACCGGTTTTGGTGGTTAAATCACCTCCTATAGCCTGTAGGTATAGCTATCTAATTATTAGATCATGGGGTGTCATCCTTCCCATGACTAGGGATTCCTTTGGGTATGTATATATATATAAATCCCTATGGATTGATAACCATCCTCCAAGGAATTGGTCCAGGAATCCCGGATTTCTTCCATCCACAGTAAAAAATACCCAGTTAGAGCGCTATCATAGAGTCATAGAACAAGCTCCCCACTATAGTGAAGTCTCACTATAGTTAAACTGTACCCATACTAAACCCATACTAAACCATACCCAACCATCTTACTATGGTTATTATCAAATATCGTCAATACATGTGTGCATAAATATATATATATACAAACATATAGATGATTTGCCATAATTAACTAACCTGAAAGGAACTCACTAAAATAATCCAACCATCATTCCAGGGACGTCACAGTGAGGTCATTATAATTCATCCAAATATAAAAATATGTATACATAATATATATGTGTGTGTGTGTGCGTGTCTGTTCTGCAATATGGTCAACCTTTACAATATGAAATAGCAGCTCAACATTGTTTTAAATTAATATAAATTACACTTAATTAAGACATAGTCAACGTTTTCAATATGACATGCTAGCTCAACATTGTAACATTATCATAAGTTATACTTAAGACATAGTCAAGTATTTCAACCTGATATGCTGGCTCAACGTCAACGTAAATGATACTCTTAAGACTGCTCAACCTTTACAATATGACATACTAGCTCAACATTAGTATGAATTATACTTAAGACATAGTCTGAAAGGAAGAAAAACTAAGAGGTCCCCTAGGACCTCCTTGGAACCAAGAACCAAGAACCAAGATTCCCCCAAAACTTTCTGTGCAATCTTGGTTCTTGGTTCGTGGTTCCAGTGAGGTCCTAGGACCTCCTAAGACCTCTTGATGCCAGAACCATCATGTCTCACAAGTTTGTCTACATCCACGGTTATATATATATATTATATGGCACTCCCCCTCGAAACTATTTCCAAATTTATTTAAAAGAACGTAAAAACATATCCCCCAAAATATGCAAAAAACACCGTAAATACCAGTAAAAATAGTAAAAAGGTAAGTTTGTTTTTTTTTGGGGGGGGGGTACATATGTATAAACCTCCATCTGGTGTTGGGCTTGGTTGAATCCATTGCTATGCCCATCAACACTCCGAAAACGAACCGGGTCTCCCTGCATAAGCCGTGGCGGTTTCTTCTGCAAGGCCCGACGCTGGGCGGGTGCCTCGTCGGGTATGAAGATAACATACACACATACACAATATGTTAATATAAATATATTCATACACGAGTATGTGTGTATATGCAGCTTGTATGCATCATATGAATTAATATGATTCAACGAAATAGTAGATGGTCCAATTGAAGCGAAAGCAACATCTGGAGAAGTCTTGGATGATCAACTTCGAGTGAAGAGTCAACTGACGAGCACACACGGTAACAGGTGGTGCTTGCACCACTATGAACTGCGATTCCTATGATGATTGTCAATTTCAAGATCATCATTATCACAACCACCGCGCTTACACAGGAACATGGCTATGGATTAAAAACTCTCACCAACAATGGAATGCTTCGCCACTAAAACTGCATAGTGGTCAAAAGAAGCATGAGCCAGTCATACCATAATACCAATAAAGATAGAAATGATCATGAATTGTCACTTTTTCAGGAAGTATGTACTTTCATGTGTTCTTTTGGTGGGATAACTCTATATATAGTCATCCCCAAATAGATGGAAAAGTAAATCCCTCCTAATTTCATGGTGATTTACTTTTCCATCTATTTGGGGATGACTATATATGATGTTCATTCATTTTCCCTATTTTCTAATATATATATATATAGCCATACCTCGGCTTGTTGACATCTGAGTCCTGGACCAAGTTCGCTGAGGGCGTCGGGGGAGGTGCCACTTTCACCTCATTCCATCGCCATCGGAGTCGGAGTCTTGGCGGTTCTTATTCATGGCATTGGATGAATTCATGGGACTAATATGGACTACCCTCTGGTAAACTAACATAACTATGGAAAATCACCATGTTTATTGGGAAATGTCACTATAAATCACCATTTTCAATAGCTATGTTAAATTACCAGAGGGTAATATGGATTAATATGGATTAATGTTATAGTGAATGGAATGATATGAATGATTGGGATGATATTGATTGGAATGATGAATGACAGTTTCATTGACAAATCATGATCTGGTAGGCAGAAACCTGGAATTATGATAATTGGAAATCAATTGGGTGTCAGAATGTCAATTAAAACCATCAGAAAGCCAAATGCGAATGGAAAACGAAGAAATCATGGAAACCATAAACAAATTGTTCAACATGCCAATGGGATCAATGGAAAATCCGGCAAGGCCATTTCAATACAAATACTGGAAGTGAATCAGGCTGAACATTTCCTGGCTTTGAAGCCAGCGATATACCATCAATTTGGTGGGAATGGAGGCATGCCATTGATGATAGTGAAAGGTAGGTCCGCCCATATCTATATTTTTCTATAATACATAAGCACTGCATAGCACAACTGTATCCGATACTCTTCAAAAGGCCAAAAGTCATTGTTATACTTATAACTAACTTTTAACATCTTATAACAACTTATAACACTAAAAAGAATAGTGACAATGCTGAGAATTATCCTCATCATCGCCACCTCATTTTCCATCAACCAATATGTGAGGATCGAGTGCCCCCAACGGAACTGCCCAGGTGGTGTGCCATATAGGCCTCAGTCGTCCGGTAAAATTCCCTGAACAGATAGGCTTTGGAATTGGAGCTTCACTGGGCACAGCTGAGCTAAAAACGAATGGATCGTCCGGTTTGTCGGCCAGTACACCTTGATGCGGACAAAAAGCTGGAGCAAGATCAAGCAGTGTCCCCTCAATCTGTGCACAGCCAGTCCAGTGTAAGTGGTACCTCTACCCACCAAATCCCCATAGATTGGATGGCGGTTCATGTTGTCAATGTTGCATCATGTATCCCCATTGACGACCATGTAAGGGCAGCCCCAGAGGAACACAAACAAACATCCAGACAGTAGGAAAAAATGTAGGTTTCTGGTTTCGGCAAGATCTTGGATGGAAAATCGGCCAAGCAACTTGTCATCAAGTTTTGGATGAAATGTTGCAGCTCGTGTTTCTTCAAATAGGCCTGGCGCATTGCCAGAAATCCAATGGATGGTCTTGTGTGGCCATGCCACCTCATCCTCCAAATAAATCCAAATAAGGCAAGGCACTCAAGCAACCAACATTTCGATCAGCTCTGGAAGTAATTTGTTCAAACTCCCAACAGCCTTCTCTGTCGAGATGTTGGTGGTTGAGCTTCCCACACCCAAATTATATGGTCCATTGGAATTTCAGGTAGGCAGCGAAAAGTGGCACACAGGCCTCAAAGAATAACCTTTGAAACTATAGGTCAGGCAAATAGGCAAAAACCATAAAACATGCAAAAACCACAGCTTGCCCCTGGCCTCTGTTTCACTCAAGGCATCCTCTCCTCGTTTTTGCGGTGGCCTCGCTGTGCCGTGGCCAGAAAACCTGCAACCGCAGAACGGGGGGCTGGGCAACCCGGCGCAGGCACAGATTCCTCAGTTCCAACGCTCATGTCGCGCACCAGCAGGTCCAAATTCATCCTTGGAGACAGCGAAAGGTTCTCAGTGGCTGGGCAGAACTATTCGATTGCGAAACTGGGGAAGCGAAGTCGCGTTAATGTCACGTAATTGCAGCAGTTCCAAGAGTTTCATGAGCGGATTATTGCATATTTCGCAATACAATCTAAATATAACAAGGTTCAATAACCATGGCTCCTCACCAGTTAGAATTCCTGGAATGCATGCTCAACCCACGTAACATCATCATTCCCTGAAGATGGGGGGTGAAATAGCCTAATTTATCCGAATAACTGCCATCTAAGAGTCTTCAAATGGGCACCCAACCAATCTTTAGGATCCCTGGAAGGTTTCCCAACCAATTTCAATCACCAGGGGCCCATCTACCAGTCGGAAATGGGGTGGAAAGATAGTGAAAGAATCCAATGAACGGAATTTGCCATCCCCTACATGTTCACAAAACAAGGCTGCAAATCAGTTCGTACATCTTTGTAGCTCCTCATATTCAAACATTTTGGCGTATTTCCACATTCCCTTTGAAGATGTTCTCATTCATTTTTTTCAGTTCAGAAGCTCCAGATCTCGGCCTCCCAGCTTTTGACCCTCTCCGAAGCTCACGGTGTAGCGGTCCGTCTTGGGTCTCAAGACCACGCGTGAGGTGCCAAGGGGAGCAAAGAGGTCCACCTGGCACACTTCACCCGCAATGTCAAGCGACAGCAATGGTGATTTTAACTATTTTACCCCTTATGAAAATGGTGATCCAATCAGCAAAAACTGAGATTTAACATGATTTAACCAATTTAACCCCTAAAAAAGTGGATTATAAGATTACAAGTGGATTGAACCGGCAAAAAGATATGGAAAGAACCAGCAAAAAAAGTGTTGAGTTTATTTTGTGCCATGTTTGGGGGGCACAATCCATATGTCACCAGCAAGTCACTCGCGCGTCAAATGATGTTGGACCCAGAGTCAGGACATATCTGGAGGCCATTGGAGGCCTCCCAACCAAATGATCACTATGTGCAGGTCAGATAGGGTGCCCCCACCATAACAAGTCATAAGACCTCGGGGGGGGCATTTCAGGTGAGAATCCTTGGCTATGCAAGGTCAAGGAAAGGTATCTGGAAATTATTCTGTATAATTACTGTGCGTCTAAATGTACCTATTACATGTAGGTCCAGCTCTAGGTCCACATCTAAATCTAAAACGATTCTAAAACGTAATATAATGTAATACATCCAAAAATATATATAATTATATATACATATAAGCATATCATCATCATCATCATCACCATCATTGTCTATTATTATTGTTATGTATATAAATATTTTATACATGTGTGTGTGGGTGCGTCTGTGCGTGCGCATCCTGAAAACATTGCGTTAAATGGCACAGTCACCAGCCATCCCAGCCCCTTGCATAACGACCCACCTTGAAAGGACAAGCATCCATGAGACTGGTCTGAGCGAAACGCACCTGATGGTAACACACCGAATCGTCTCCAATGAACATATTATCGTTTGTTTGTTTGTTTGTTTGGGCGGATGGTATTTGAGGTACAAACATGAAAACATATGCAAACTACAGACATAATGCACCATACTCCTGGACGTTCTCAGGAAAAAGGACACCTCGAACTGAGGGTGGTAACCTCTGAGAAAAACACGGGTTTGTCGGCTGGCAGTGTTCCTTGTCGTCTCACGTTTCCTGCGCGGATGGACCTGCCCAGAAAGACAGAGAGGACACAAGATTTGGACGGATAACTTGGGCACAAAACAAATGGGCAACCATAAAAGCAATGTCAAAATATATGTGTGAATGTCTGGCAACCAGCATGGCTGTTTCAGAAAATGCTGGTCCAAAATTAGTTGGGTCGCAGATTAGCTAATGCCTCAGGAAGCCTCGTTTACGGTTTTGTTCACAAGTCATCTAAACATCCCCATGCCCTCTGCGCAGTTTAGCAGCAATGACTGCACCATCCCTATCCCCTGTGATACAAGCCAGCGATGCAGGATACTTCCCTCAGGGATGTTCGACGCATTTTCCACCACCACCTGAACGTGTCAAACACAATGCACGCACTGTTGGTGATTCACTTCCGTTTCAAACCCAATGATTTTATTGAGGCTAAGAAATGCCGGTTCCCACCCAAAATCCAAAAAATGTATGGTACCCAGCCAGTCACCTTTTCACAATTTTTCGAAATCTTCAAACCCTGTCAAGATCCTTCACGAACGCCCAAGATCCTTCGAAATGTTTCAAATATTCAAGTTCTGCTACATTTAGCAATTCATGCCACTTGACGCCCCAAAAAAAATGATAACCCAGGTGATTGCAAATTTTTTCCCTACGCAAAGCCACCTCCATTAGGCAATCGCTCTTCGAGTCCTGATTTCCAGGAATCGGCCGGACCTAAGCAGCATGAGGCATGGGACCAACCTGTCGATGATGGTGATGCTGATGATGCTGCTGTTGTTGTTGCTGCTGGCGGTGGTAACTGTGGCCATTGTTATCATTATCATTACTGCATGTCATGACCAGCATGTAAATTGTCATAATGACGTACCGTATTATTTCTAGTATTGTGGTTGTGATGATGGTGATCAATGATGGTGATGTTAAGGGCAATGATAATGATGATGATCATCACGATGATCATACTCGCTCATCTCACAAAGATCAAATACTGTGCGCAACAACTTTGAATAGGCATGCGACGGATCCACGATGGTTCAGTCAGACATGCAACGGGAAACCTCTCAATATGTCTCAATGTGCATTCCTGGTTTAATTTCTTGTCAGTTCTCCGACTCATTACGTTTCCTCACTCGTCATATTGTTTCAAAAAAAAATCGCCAAGGATTTCCACCTGATTGATGGCAATTTTCAGTAAAACCGGCATGATTAAAAACCAACGCTTGCAGTACAAACATGTCAACCCCAGTCCCTTGGGGTCAGCACGTCTGCTATTCCCAGTCCGTAAATGGCAAACAGCCAACTACGTACTATTCAACCTGGATGGCTGCGGTACGCCGAAAATATCCAAGACATCGTGCATGGCCCAAACTGCGAAAGAATCATTCTGCGCTTGAATCGGGCGATTGCCGTGTCCAATCCAAATGAATGTCCACTTCCAGTAGGTGTCTCCCCTACCACCTCAAACATTTGGGTTACGAAAATAATTTCAAAATTATGTGAGACCAAATATACTTTTGGAGATTCTGGGCGTTAAGTATTGCCGAACAAATTGCCTCCTTGAAAACGAATACAGAATCATTTTTACACAGAAACGTTTTTACACACAAACCCGTTTACTCAAAGACGCTTTTACGCACCACCACTTTTACAAAGAAACCTTTTCACACACACACACGCACACACACACACACACTTTGGAACACCCCGAAGGGAGAGAGACGTGAGATGAGATGAGATGAGATGAGGTGAGGTGAGGTGAGGTGAGATGAGATGAGATGAGATGAGATGAGTCATGATATCGTCATGTATCATTCAAAGCTTCAAACTCATCCCAGTTAACAAGGGCATCTTCGGCGTGACATGTTGGTAATTGATGTGAATGTGCAAACAACTTCGGCGAGGCGGTTCTTGGCTTAGCCGCTTGCCATGAGGACGAAAATGCTGACGAAGTTCACTGTCGAGTCTATGTAATTGAAAACCGTTGATACCCTTTGTGTCCGGGTTTCTCATACACAATAAGCCGCTCAGGCAAGTGCTTTGGTGATCGCGTGCTCGCGTTTGTCATGGTTTTGCACGTCACCCCCTCGGTGCTGAAAGTGGCCCTTGAAAAGTTGGCTAACGTTGATACAGTGCGTGGCTGTAGAAACGCTGATCGTCAATTGTGCCAAGGATGTCATGGCTATGGTGTCGAAGCGAAATTCGGGGTGAAACATAACTCTAACTGACGGGAGAAAAAATCGTGTCATGTCAATTGTTACAAGCACTACAACACACTGTTGGGTAGTAAAAGCGACTGCCCCTGACAATGGTTGAAGCTCTACCCTCGTTGCCGGCGGTGAAACTTCAGCTGGTTCCAAGTGCAACGCAACTCATGTATGCTATGGCAATCGTTCAAGCAAGTCATGACAAGTGTCTTGGTGGTTGTGCTTGAACTGTTTCTGCTGGAGCTGCTTGTTGATGTGCTTGACATGCTTGTGCTGCTTGTTGAAATGCTGGAGATTGAAGTGCTGCTTCTTGAGGTGCTGGTTGTAGGAGCTGGCGCTGGTCAGAGATGTGCTGGAAGTACCTGTGCTGGTGCTGTTGGCTGATGTGCTTGAAGTACAACACGCCGTTGTGCTGGGAGTTGTTCAGGTCAGGCTTGAAGTGCTTGTGCTGGAATTGCTTGGTGCTGATTGATGTACTTTTGCTGCTTCTTTAGGTCCTGGTTGCGGAAGTGCTGAAAGCGCTGGTGCCGGTCAAGGAAATGCTGAAGGTACCTGTGCTGGTGCTGTTGGCTGATGTGCTTGAGGTAGAGGTTGCCGTTGTACTGGTAATGGTTCTGATTGTGCTTGAAGTGGTTGTGCTTGAACTGTTTATGCTGGAGTTGCTTGTTGATGTGCTTGACATGCTTGTGCTGCTTGTTGAAATATTGGAAATTGAAGTGCTGCTTCTGGAGGTGCCGGTTGCAGAAGCTGGCGCTGGTCAGAGATGTGCTGGAAGTACCTGTGCTGGAAGTACCTGTGCTGGTGCTGTTGGCTGCTGTGCTTGAGGTAAGTACAACATGCCGTTGCGCTGATGGTTGTTCTGGTCAGGTTTGAAATGCTTGTGCTGGAACTGCTTGCTGGTATGCTCATTGATGTACTTCTGCTGCTTGTTAAGGTGCTGGTTGCGGAAATGCTCGCAGCGCAGGTGCCGGTCAAAGAAATGCTGGAAGTATCCGTGCCGGTGCTTTTGGCTGATGTGCTTGAGGTAGAACTTGCCGTTGTGCTGGTTGTTGATGTGTTTGACGTGTTTGCGCTGCTTGTTGAGGTGCTGGAAGGCGTGTATGGTGCTCCCAATTTAATGATCGGTGTTGGAAGTGTGAATGTTGAGTCCAGCTGTGCCAAACGCATGCAGTAGGATATATATATATATACAACGTGGTTTGTGTGAAACAACCGCGGCAGCTGCATCAAGGTTGGAGTTTCCTTCAAGCAAGTACCATCAAAACGTCAAATCCATTTTCGACATGCGTTTTGTTGTTTAGAGTTCACTGTTGAGTAGTGAGTAGTGAAAACGACTGCCCCTGACAATGGTTGAAGCTCTACCCTCGTTGCCGGGGGCGATACGTCAGCTGGTTCCAAGTGCAACGCAACTCATGTATGCTATGGCAATCGTTCAGGCAAGTCATGACAAGTGTCTTGGTGGTTGTGCTTGAAATGTTTCTGCTGGAGCTGCTTGTTGATGTGCTTGACATGCTTGTGCTGCTTGTTGAAATGCTGGACATTGAAGTGCTGCTTCTTGAGGTGCTGGTTGTAGGAGCTGGCGCTGGTCAGAGATGTGCTGGAGGTACCTGTGCTGGTGCTGTTGGCTGATGTGCTTGAAGTACAACATGCCGCTGTGCTGGGAGTTGTTCAGCTCAGGCTTGAAGTGTTTGTGCTGGAATTGCTTGGTGCTGATTCACGTACTTTTGCTGCTTGTTCAGGTGCTCGTTGCGGAAGTGCTGAAGGCGGTGGTGCCGGACAAGGAAATGCTAGAGGTACCTGCGCTGGTCCTGTTCAGCTATGTCTGGGATCGCCGCCAACTCACGGGCCAACACGGCTGCATTGTGCTCGATGAGTTCGCTCTTCCTGGTCAACGTACGGACTGCGTGGTGTAGACCATCCAACTCAAGTTTCTGGGTCCAGAGCCGATAGACCACATCCGTCATGGCAAGCGGGCGTACAGTGATGTCCACTGCTGTGACTCGCCCGTCGCCTCGGTAACTGATTACTCGGTTGGGGAATGCCTTAGAGGTCGGGCATATAGAATTCGTAACGGGAGGTTTCGTTGAACTCTTCCTCCCAGTCCACCTTGTAGTGCTGGAACTTCTCGATTGTTGGTGCCAGCTCTGTATCATGTGGTATCTTGAGGGGCAAGATATGGCAAGATTGCCTTATTTGGTTCCAAAGATACGTTCTCAAGCCCAAAGATGCGTAATGAATTCTTCGGCCCCGAATGCCAGCGTGAACCCAAATTGTACCGGTGGCTGGGAAAAGGTGAGGCCACTCATTGCGCCAAATGTGATTGCATGAGGCAAAAATAGGCAAAAACACAATTCAAGAAAAATTGGAGCCCGGCAGTGGCTGCGAGCAACAATTGGCCCCAGCGGCTCAGAGAAAGAATGCAATGTCTTGTGTGAATTAAAGCAAAAAACAACCACCTACAAAAAGAGAGAAAAAAAATAGATAGATAGATAGATGGATGGATGGATAGATGGATAGATAGTTAGATGGATGGATGGATGGATAGATAGATAGATAGATACATAGATAGATAGATAGATGGATGGATGGATGGATCGATAAATAGATAGATAGATAGACAGACAGACAGATAGATAGATAGATACGTGGATAGATAGATAGATGGATGGATGGATAGATAGATAGAGAGAGAGAGAGAGAGAGAGGGAGGGACCGATAGATAGAGAGATACATAGATAGATAGATAGATAGATAGATGGATGGATGGATGGATGGATAGATAGATCGATGGATGGATGGATAGATAGATACATAGATAGATAGATAGATGGATGGATGGATGGATGGATAGATCGATAAATAGATAGATAGATAGACAGACAGACAGACAGATAGATAGATAGATACGTGGATAGATAGATAGATAGATAGATGGATGGATGGATAGATGGATAGATAGATAGATAGATAAACCGACAGACAGATAGATAGATAGACAGATAGACAGACAGATAGATAGATAGATAGATCGATCGATAGATAGATCGATAGATCGATAGATCGATCGATCGATCTATCGATAGATCGATCGATAGATAGATAGATCGATCGATAGATAGACAGACAGACAGACAGATAGACAGATAGAGAGACAGACAGAACAGACAGAACAGACAGACAGATAGATCAATCGATCGATCGATCGATAGATAGATAGATAGATAGGTAGGTAGGTAGGTAGGTAGATCAATCGATAGACAGACAGATAGATAGATAGATAGATCAGTCGATAAACAGAAAGATCGATAGATAGATAGATAGACATCGGGGAGTGCCTTGGCCTCTTTGCCTGTGGAGGCCTGAAACTATTTCTTAGATAAACCTAATTTTACAAAAACTATTTCCTAAATCAACCCTAAGTTGGGAAACTATTTGAAACTATTTCTTAAACAAACCCAATTTACAGAAACCATTTCTTAAACCAACCCAATTAAATTCAACTTACAGAAACTAAGTTGGGAAACTATTTGAAACTATGTTTTAAACAAACCCAATTTACAGAAACTATTTCTTAAACCAACCCAATTTACAGAAACTATTTCTTAAACCAACCCAATTTGCAGAAACTATTTCCTAAATAAATCGAAATTTTAGAAACTTTTGAAAAATATCCAAAAAAAAACATTAATAAAAAAAAACTAAAAAAGTAATTCAAGTTACGCCTTCTAGGGATTGGTTTGAAACGGTTTGAAACGGTTTCGGACTATTACCTAGCAAGTAGCGGGAAACGGTTTGAAACGGTTTGGTAAAAGCAATCCTGGTTCTGTAAATGGTTTCTGGATTTAGGGCCCAGGTTAAGAAATAGTTTCTAGGAATTAAAAAATATTTAAGAAATAGTTTCCAGGATTTATTTAAAAAAAAAAAAGTGTTTCCAGGATTTAAGAAATAGTTTCTGGGATTTAAGAAATAATCTCGGGGAGTTCAGAAATAATGTCTGGTATTTTTACGAAAAAGTTTCTGGAATTTAAAATGTTATTTCCTTTCATGTTTACCTCTTAGGACGGTTAAGCTGGTAGGTTCCCGACGAAACCGGACCCCCCGC